ACCTAATCCCAGCTCCTTGTACATGTATCCTGTTGTGGCAACATCTAAGGATGAAGGAAAGGCACCCTTCAGTGAGACTTTTTTTTTTGCTGACATCTCCATATATCACCTGGAACATTTAGTCACCTCTGCTCTGGACTCAAACTTGCTTTGTTGTCCAGAAGTCTTAGCAGCTCCTGTCCTGTGTTTATAGGAGGATCAGCTCTTACCATGCTCCAACACTGGTCAGATGAACTCTCTGCTAGGTGAGGACAGTGGTTCTTCAGCTCTTCTTGTTTTTCCACAGGATATCACCAGGGTGCAGGTGCAGAGGCTCTTGGATACTAGCTTTGCTATTTTTTTTTTTTGAGGCAGGGTATCTCTGTGTAGTCCTGGCTGTCCTGAAACTTGCTCTGTAGACCAGGCTGGTCTTGAACTCAGAGATCTGTCTCCCAAGTGCTGGGATTAAAGGCGTGCACCACCACCACCATCCAGCTCTTTCCCAAGTTTTCAAACTTCTTTTCTTACTTTCAGATGCAGCACCCAGTAACCATCAGCCTTTGAAAAATAAAGTTTAAGGCTGGCCATCGTTGATGTTGATTGCCTCTGGAACAACGTGACAAGACAAGAGAATGTCTAGGACTATTGGTTGCAACTTGTCAATTCACTACCAACCCATGACATATGTGTACTCCACCCTGCACAGCCCTCGCTTTATCTCACGTCCTCTCTCTTTCTAATGACTTGGGCAAGGATGCAGATGAGAACCAACCACAGCCATGATTATTTCTCACTCTTAGTCAATCCTGGGAGTAAGCTTCCTTGGGCTTAGTGACATGGCTTGGGTGGGAGGACTTTGCTAGGAGTGCAGTAGCTGAAGGAATTGAGGGCCTCAGATCCGAGGGTGGCTGTAGATGTAATAATATGATCCTCACCATGTGGCTATGGAACAGGGTTCCAATGTGTATGGGAAAGACTTAAACAGCTGGAGGAAAGGAGAGGGATCTTTCTGTTGGGAGGAGAAGCAAGATGAGGAGTTCACAAGTGACCTGAAGACAGGCTCTATGAAGGGTCTGCATAGGAAAGCAGGCAGACATGAAAGCAGGAGGAGGGAAAAGGGGCTTCCTAAATGGTCCTGAATACTACTCAACTCTTGTAAAATGCACTTTATCATATTCTGAATTAAGTATCCTATTATCAATACATGTCACATATATCTTACAATTTTCACTGATGCAAGTACAATGGCCTAGGGCCCACTTGTAGCTCTAGTGAATAATAATTTGGCTTAGTATCATTTTGTCATTTTTTTGCATATATATATATATATATATATATATATATATATATATATTCTGATGCTCATAGGAACACTAGGATAATTTTTTTTTGGCTTTCTGGACTTTGACTAATATGAGATAATAAATCACCAGTCTGAAAATATGGTGAAATCTTTGTGCAGAACAGTATTTAGGGTTCTGGAAACCAGTTTGCTAGTGACATGTTCTCCATCATTTTAGGACCATGTGCCACAGAGAGCCATCAATCATTACAAAGGAAACACACCAGCTGTTCCATTGATACTCACTGCTCAGTGAGTCTGAATACAGAACAGGAATGCATGATGTGAGGTTTGGACAATGGATATTTGTTTCTAAGGTGACCGCTACCAAAATTGAAGGAGTGTGCTAATTTCTTTCCACTCTTGGAATTTTTCACTTTGAAATGAGAATGAAAAGAGAGGTAGCTGTGGTGTGGGCTTATGAGTGGATAAAGAGACGGAGCTAGGTTCTGTGTGTAAGATGCACTTATTCTGTACTAGGTATCTGGGGCTCATTTTCAGGCTTTTTTTAATCTGCAGAACTGGGGGAATCTACTAGTTTTTAAAAACTGAGTTTATTTTGAGGAATTGATTTGAGGCCCATTTATGTAAAGATGGAAAAGAATACAAATAAGATTCAGTGTCTTGACAACTCAAAATCATGTCATTGCTTTATGATGCACCATCCTTTGCAAGGCTTTGGGGCAGTAAATTAGCAGACAACTCAGTGCAGTCCTATGCACAGTGTACGAATCATGTGGCTCCAGCACTGGGTTCTATCCCTTTCCATGTCTATCTCAGAAAGTTTAATGAAGCTCAGAAACACATATCAAAAAATAAATTCATCTTGCTTGGTTTGGCAGAGGGTGCTGTACTGTCTGCCACTGGTTGGACACACAGACACAAAACATTTGTCTGCCTTGGGGGTCTGCTTATGCAATGAGTACCAGTTAGGGCGTATAAATAAGCATGACCTAATTGACACTGGTGATTAGGCCGTGGTGGTGACTGAGGCAAGCCAGAAAGCACACGTGAAAGGCTTAACTCTGTCCTCATTTTAAATTCAATGTCTTGTGGGAAATATGAATCCAACATTGCCAAATGCTCTGATTTCTTGACAGACACCAGAAGGCTAGAATTCTATCTATATAAATGTGCCTGACATGGATGTGTTGACATATAATTAAAAATACAATGTGGAGATAAGACATGAATGTTGGGTTTAGTCACCTGCCTGCCTATTTGATATTATCTAGTGTAATGAAGAGAAGGGACAAGGGAACTGGGATGGTACAGGGCATGTTTCCATGCTGTTTGGGAAAGACATCTTTAGTCTTTCTAGAGTATTTAAACTTCTTTTATAAACCAAGTCAGGAGCAAAACACAGTAAAGCCATTTGTCGTACAAATACAAATAGTTGTGAGGGAAAGACTGGATGACATTAGCCTAGGTTGAAAGGATCTATTATGCTCATTTCCTTAAGGATCTTTGGAGGACTCATTTTCATATTTGGGTGGTCACCTGTTGCAAACAGTTTCTTTAGAATATGGTGGGTAGGCGGTTGGGAAGAGCATCAAGACCTGGACCTTGTAGGCAAGACCAAAGGTAGAGCACATCAACAACACAATCTTCTTAGATTTCCTCAGCATCAACAATAACTCAGACAGCTTAACAATTTAAGTGGAGGAAATTCAATGATAGGTACCAAGAGAGCAGGAGCCAGAGCGGTGTGAGATGCGACTTTTAGAGCCAGAGTTCAGCTCAACATTGGGCAGTTTTTAAGTAGTAAGCTGCATTAGAGAACAGAGAACTTAGATGTGTCTTGAGAAGTCAGAATTCTCACCCAAAATATCATGTAGTCTCTTCCGGGTTCAATGCCTATCTTATCTCCTTGCTCTCTTGTGCTGATACTGGCTAATAAAGCCAGTGTAGCCAAAGGCTGACCGAGCCCAACTAAGCTCCCCTTCTTTGAGCCTAGGGCTTTGGAATAGCTGTCAAAGGGGGACTGTATGCTGCCATTCAGTAGCTTGCCTTCTGCAGCTGGAGGCAGGTCCGTTGACTCCACTTCAGCTGAGGTTGGATGGGCATGTGGAAATAAGCTACCCAGTGAAAGGCGGCAGTCAGTCCCAAACCTCACTGATTATCATTCACAGTTTCAGTAAGAGAGAGAGACACAGTAGTGAGGACAAACAGAATGCTGCAACTATAATCAATCCTGAGTCTTGGGGACCTTAGCACTCAACACTATGTTTCTCTCTGACACTAGATGAGCTATGGGGTTATGTGGGATATGTGCACATCTGGCCCAGTGTAGTTACCTGGAGACTAGGGATGATTTTAGGCTCTTTCTTTGTGTACTTTGAAGATCTATATTTCAGGGCAAGGATGAGGCACAACCACTCACTGGCTTTTAAGCCTCTAAACTGATTTTGGTCAGCAGCTCATATTTCCCATTTTAGTGGTTACGGCAAAGCACATGTCCATGCTAACTCCCAGAGAGGCAGCAAAAGTACAAATCCGACCACAAGTTTATGGAGTACATCAAGACTCTGGTTCATATTTCCCCTAAGTCATTCTAATATCCTATATTTAGAAACCTTCAATGTGTTTAATTCATCTCTAGAGGATCATCTAAGCTGAGGCTTGGGTCACTCTTTTGGTAAGGCATTAGAAAGATAGAGTATGGATGGTTTGATAGCCATCCAATAAACCAGTCACAGAAGCCATTTTGGCCACCTCTCATGTACTCATTTTGGTCCCTCCCTTGCTAATTAGCTGCAGGTGGGTGGCCTTAAACTTCCCATCCCCCCCCCCCCAGAGTGTTGGGATTGCAGGCGTCACCACCATATTTGGTTCATGCAGTGTTGAGGATTGAACCCAGGCTTTTGTACATGCCAGGCAAACATGCTACCAACCCAGCTCTCGAAAGGAAATCAAGTGCAAAGTAATGGTATTTTTATTTATATTAACAACAGCAAAATACTTTTATAATTTCACATACCATTGCTTTTAAAAGCACATATATTACAAATAAAAGAACTTCACAAACTTTAAAGGTTAGTATTTATCAACACTTTTTTACACATACACAAATATTTTAATATAACTTTATCTGAAATGTTACTCATATAATTTTAGAACTTTCATAAGTCTTAACTAAAAACATTCTTTGAAATTTGATAAAAACCATATATTTTACAATTTTCTATTTACATCTGAAATATGCTTAAATGTTACAAAAACATTCACTTTGACCTTTAAAATACGTGTACTAGGACCTGGAATTGAACACATTATACCCAAGAGCAAACTCAGTTTGCTTTTAAGCTGCACATTCATTGGAATTTCAGGACAAATGTTCAGTGTGGTTTGATCAATACCACTCAAAGGAAACAAAGGAATCATAGGAAATGTGCAAATTCAGAGGCTGGCAAAATTCTCAAGCTAGCGAGGTAAACAAAAATATTAACACTGTAAAAACTTCAAATAAATTAAATCTATCTTTTTCTTCCCCGAGATTAGCTGCAAAAATTCAGAGTTCTCTGAGAGGTGCGTCTGATGCCCCAGGGTTCCTCTCAAACTTCAGCACTGGGTGAGATGGAGACCGTAGGTATGGCTGGGGTCACCTTGCTAGTTACACGTGTGTAGGTTCGCTCCACTCCGCGCTTTGCTGGGTCGTCCCTGCCCATAATCTTAAAGCAAGACAGATACGACACATGCATACAAAATGACGAGAGATCAATTTTCATATCCTCAAACACAGAATTAAAACCCTTAATAGTGACTCATTCCCAATGGGGCGTTAGTAAGTTTGGAAAATATCCTAGTCAAAGTAGTTCTGAAGGATATTTTCTTCGAAGCCCATATGCTGGTTGCCATGGGGATGTTGAAAGTAGCTTTACTATACTTTTTGACTGTCAGATACAAATTTATAAATGTTTAAATGGCTGCAAATGTACGTGAGTGATTCTAGTGTCTCATTCTAGTTCAAGAATTTATAATTTATTGCCAACATCTACCCTAAAGGGGAAAACATCGGAAAACTCACTTAAATGTTTGGACTCATGGGAGTATAATAAAATCAATCTGATGTATCTGAAAATACTATCAATATGTCTAAGGGATACTTTGGCAGCTCTATCAAAATGACCTTATGCAAACAGTAACTGCAGACCCACGGAAACTGCAGGTGTATCTCTGCAGTTTATCTTTGTACAAAAGAGATTTGACGAGCATTTTAAATTCCTACTTATGATTTCCTCACTAACCTTACACAGCATCATGCTGTGCTGTTGTCTATGTGTGTGATGTTAGCTTCACCTCTCTTCCAAGGGCTTTTTCAGACAGAGGACTCGGCAGCTGAGGGTCATGTGTTTGCCATACATCCTCCTTCGGGCCAGTGTTATGCGATGCTGCATATATGATTTGGCTCTTTATGTGTTTCAAGTATATCTCAGTCTCTAACAGCAAGATGCTCTCACATCTCACTTTCTTGGCATCAGGACAGAATGGCTCTGGTCCCATCTCTGCGTTTTAAGTTGGATACTCATGACCACGGCTGACTTCACTCTTCCGCCATTCTCCCTCAGTTGAAACACACTCCAAAAGAGCATCTTATATTTATTCTTCATTTGCATGCTTGTGTGAATTCCACTGGCCCCAGCCAAAGAAAGTTCTTTACGGTTTTTGGTTTTTGGCTGTTTATGAAACAGTGTGAAATTCTGGCTGCCGATTAAAGAAATGGTTGCCTGTCACTACCAATTCAAATTACTTGTTTTCCACGTCTCCATTTTACACACTAGCATGACTCTATCTTGATTCTGTTTCCTACCTTTCTTTTTTTAAAAAAAGTGCGTGGGTGCATGTATGTGCATGGGTGCACACATGCCACAGTATGTATGTGGAAGCCAGAAGGCAGCTTGTGGGGGTGAGTTCTCTTTTTCTACCATATGGGTCCCAGTGGCTGAACTCAGGTCATCAGGCATGGGGACAAGAGATGTCACCAAGAGAGACATCTCGCTGGCCTCTACAGGTACTTATTTTCTTTTTGAGAAGGGATCTCATGTATCCCAGACTGGTCTCAAGCTTGCTATGTAGCTGATGATGATCTCCAACTACTCCTGTCCTCCTGTCCTTGTGTCCTCCTGTCCTCCTGTCCTGTGTTGAGACCACAGGCATGTGTTATATGCATGGCCCTATTTCCTCTGATATTGAGGGTTTTCCCCTAATGGCATTTATTTTATTTTAGTATTCTGTAAGCTAATACTTTTCTTGGCCCTATGGGGGTGTGTATAGCATAATTAATTTTGTGTTTCTATTTATATGTCATTTGATTCTAACTGTTTCTGATTTTCAAAGCCCAGCTGGTAAGTTCTCTCACCACTTAATTACCTGTTTCTGGAGCATGCGCATTTACATTGAGATGAAGGAAGTTATTGACCAGGCCCCATTATAAGCCCAGGACCAGCAGAGAAGTCACATTTCTTTCCAACAGATATATTTCTTTTACTGAATAACGAGACCAGTGAAACCCATCAGGTTTTTCTCTTTGATCAGTTTCCAGGAAGCAGAGAGCCCAATTTTACTTCTTTTGTTAAAAAAATATTTTTTTCTCTCCTCTGGACCACCTGGTCTTTGTATTTTTGTTTTGTATTTTGAAGTATCACAAAAACCTTTCAGTTCTGTATATTTAAAAAACGAAGGAGCTCAAATATGTTTAGAGGCAAAGGAGCACGGGTTTTATTTTTCACAGCTGAGCTGTTAGCGTGACACATCTTAGAGAGGCAATGGAGACTTAGAGACGCTGAGCCACAGAAGCTGACGGGGGCAAAGGACCAGGGAGGAAGAGGTGGGTGGACAGAAGGCTGCAGGGCAGGACAGGCGTACGGAGGAAAGAAGAACATACCACTTTTGCTCACAGTGCTGAGGGAAATGCTAGACACAGAGGAGCAGAAGCTGTAGAGACACGGACCTCGACAGAGCTGGCAGGAAAAAAAGAGAGAAACATTTTTTTTTGCCAGACGTTTCAAGGCCAGGCGTGATTTACAATCAGGGAAAAGTATGGCTTCACTGTGGTTCCCAGCTTTTACATGCATTCTCTTCATTTGAATCCCAGATTTAATGATGTCGCCTGTGTGTGCTCAAGGCATCTCCAGAGTATTTTAATTATCACCACCCCTCAGAAATCTCAAACCGACATGATCTTTGTTGGGAATCCTATCTATAGAGGTTCATTCTTTCCATCCTAAGTCAACCTACCATTATCTCCTCCTTGAGCTGCTGTGGAGAGCTAAAAGGGTGGGTAGAAGAGGCCAGGAAAGAAGGAATGTATGCTACATGCAATTAAAATAACACTTCCAGTCTTTGCCGAGCTCTGTTGGTGATGGCACTAGATTATTAGGGGAAGGGGAAGGAACTGATGTGAAATCAGCAGTCTCACGTGACTGGAAAGGCTACAGGTGGTGAGATACCCGAGTAGAGTGTGAGGGTTGATGGATGCTGCAAAGCAGGCAAGGGAACATCACTTGACTTCCAACTGAGTGCTTTTAGCTACTTCAAAACACTGACGTTATTGAATGGTCATATTTCATGCAAGCCATACAGAATATGGTGAATACATACCCAGGATGATGAATGACTTGATTATGGAGTGGAGTTTGATATGTATCATATATTATATTATTAAATTACCATATTATAAATATATTTAGTTTCTTTTCTCCCAATTGTGGACTTCTTTAGGAGGCGCCACTTCTGCCCAGGAAGTCTTAAGGTAAAAGGCCCATGAGAAATCCTGAGGTTCTCTCTGAGGCTGGTGCAGAAACCCCTACCGGCAAAATGTGAAATGCCATCCCATATCCTAGGTATTGTGAGCCATAAGGGAATGATGGAGTGGCAGCAGGCCAGGATGGGGATTCAGACCTTGTGTTTCTCAGTGTCCGACTAGACCTGTATAGTCTAGAGTCAACAGACTGTACAGCTTGGGTAAATACCTCTAAACATTGTGGAAAGCATTTCAGTTCTCATATTCTTTTTCTCTAGGCGTGTCTTTGCTTTGAGCCAAGAGCTGTTGTACATGGGGGAGATAACAACTCGACATCATAATGCTGATGTAAACAATAGTGACTTTTGCAGTAAAGAAAGAGTCTTCAGTCCCTCTAGCAATGGCCAGGGACTGTGGGTCACACCAAGGGATGCTTACCTGCTCGTTCATGATGGTGGACAGTTCACTGAGCATGTCCTTATAATGGGACCTCAGTTCTTCCTGGTACTCCAGCTGGTCCTCCTTGATGAGACGCTCATTTACATCAAGAGCCTGCCCACATGCATCTGCAAATTGCCTTTAATGACAGCACGAAGCAAATTAGAAGCCAGTCCCAGGAGGAGGTATTGAGTTCAGTGACTTTGGGTCCAAAGTCAAGCTGTGGATAGACTGCCACCTTGAAGAGGGTTAATTGAGTGGCTTTCCTAGGGGGTTCACATCCCTCTGTATGTGGTAGTTTGAAGGCCATTTCAACAAAGAGAATCTTACCTGAATATTTCCTTCAATAGCTTTACTTGGTTATCAGGGTATTTCTTTGCATTAGTCTCTTCAAGAAAGGCTCGGGCATAAGCCATTGGGCCAGCATTGACCTATGGAGAGAGGAGACTTGGTTGAGGCTGGTTCTTCTCCTTCATGGAGCATTCTCCATGGTAACGGGAGGTCCAGTTCTCTGACCAATCACATGGCACCAGAGCACTCCCCCTCCACATTGTGATGCACCACTTTCTAACCTTGTTGTACCAGCTGTTTTCTAAGGGTCAGAAGCCACTAGTAGGTACACTAGAGTCCAGCCTTCCCTGCTCCCCTTTCCAAATTCAATCATATGTCATCCTATAATGTGGCAACTCTCTCTGAATGGAAACATCCCCATTCCCAAAGGAAGTGGGCAGCTAGCTCATGAAAGTCAGGAAATAAACAAAGCCTTGTAAATTCCAGAAAAGACTCACAAGATGCCTTCCCAAGGTTATACCTCAGCACAAAGAGTTACAAGGAAGAAAGACTCTTCAACTTGTGCAGCTGCCTACGAGCTGAGCAGAGAGCTCCAGGTGAGTTGTCAGCCATGTTGGGGGTATTCAGTGACGCAGCTGCATCTGAGTTATCCTTGCTTCTCTAAGAAACGCCTCACTCCCACTCCAGGAGGTAATCCAAAGAAATGTTGGACTTGGCTGGAGTCACCACTAGCTTTGTCCTTGGTTCCCTGTCTGGGATGAGCGGATGTTTGGACACACCTCCCCAGGAAAAGGCACACAACACAGCCTTTCTTGCCTTTTGTCGCCTTCACATACGGCTTGAGTGCCCTTTCTATAACAACTTTGAAAATGGAATTCCTTCCTCATAAACGCTTTCACTGAAGTTAAACTTAGTGTTAGTGACATCCAGTGTTTGATGTGCCCATTGGTTTTCTTTTCATTTAGCACTATAATGAACACATAATGGTTACGAAAAGACATTCCACAGAGGTAGTGGTGTGTGAACTGCCCTGGCAATCTGTCTTCCTCTGTGCTCCACTTGAAACCCTTGCTAAGATCTGGGCCAAGGAAGCAGTCATCAGAGTTGCTGAATGAATGCAGAACCAAGCTGTTTGCTTTTTCGCTTTTATTTTTTGTGGTTCTGGAGGCTGAGTCCAGGATCTTGCAACACACACACACACACACACACACACACACACAGTGTTTGGGAAGTGTGATGGTTTGCTTTAGTTTTCAACCTGACACAGTCTAAAATCATCTCGGAAAAGAGTCTCAAGGAGGGATTGCTTTCATTGTGTTGGCCCTTGGGCATGTCTGTTAGGGATTGTCTTCTGTAAGTTAATTGACATGGGAAGACTCAGCCTATAGTAGGTAGCTTGATTCCCTAGGCAGGTTCCTGACATGTGTGAGGGTGGAGAAATCAGGCTGAGCAAGTGTGCAAATGTGGATTCACTTCTCTGCTTTGGACTGGACATGTGATGTGACTAGCTGTTCGACGCATCCACCTTGAGTTTTCACAGTGGTGAACTATCACCAAAATTGTAAGCTGGAATAAGCCCTTTTCCCCCAAAGTTCATTTTTGTCAGGGTCTTTTACCACAGCAGCAGACGTGAAACTGTGACAGGATGGGAGCTAACGTGGCATCTGAGTCAGGTGGGCATTGTAGTGCAGTAGGCACAGTCATTGGTGCTACATTCCCCTTTGGTTCCCCAGGCCCATCCTCCACTCAGCTTTGTACCCAGGGCGGCTGACCTCTCTTGACTTCACGCTTACTGTATATATCTATATCTATATCTATTTTAGTCTTTTTCAGTCAGCCAGTGGGGACCCAGACAAGAGAGATAGGCACGACATGAGCATTTCAGGATCGGCATCAGTGATTTTTTTTTCCCCTTTTGTTACAGATCAAACACAGCAGGGAAAGGCATTGCTACCAGTCTGGTTTTGTTTAAGACTTTACATTTCTTTCTGTCTTCTTCTCTTTAAATATTTAAAAAAATGTTTTTGACATATTTATTAGATTTATTTATTTATTTATTGTGTGTGTATATGTGTGTGTGTGTGTGTGTGTGCACACGTGCGTGTTAACGTAAGTGCCATGATGCTCATATGGAGGTCAGAGGACATTTTGTGGGAGTCAGTTATCTTCAGCTCTGTAGGTTACAGAGATCGAACTCAGTCTTCAGGCTCAACAGGACATGCCTTTACCCATTGAGCCATGTTTCAGGCCCTCCTTTTCTTCCTCTCCTCCCTCATGCATGTTTGAATGTGTGTCTCTGTGCTCTGGCAGAGGCCAGAGGAGACAATCGGGTATCCCACTCTCTCACTCTCTGCCTCATTCCCTTGAGAAGGGTCTCTCACTACACCTGGATCTAGGCTGATAACCACCAAGCTCCAGTAAGCCCCCCTCCCCATCTCCATTTTCCAGACCTGAGCTCTGGGGTTACAGGTCTGAATGCAGTCACACCAAGATTTTTTTTTTTTTGATTCTGGATATTTGAATGCAGGTCCTCAAGTTTGCCCAACAAATGCAAATGCCCTTACTTCCCGAGTCGTCTTCCCAGCCCTGAGACATTAATACTTTGTTCATTACAGGCTTTTCACATTAATTTTGACTTTTAAAAATAGTTATTAAGATACTATTTTATGTTCATTACTGATTAAACTCTGTGTCTGTGATGAAAGCCTTACCTCACCCCCCCACCCCCACCCCATAGTGTGGGACAGGTTGGAATTCAATCCCAGCATCCTCCTCAGAGAATTCCAGGACAGGTGATGCCTGACCCTTACGGGCTCCCCCGCTTGCTTTGTTCCCAGCAGCCCTCCTGGGCTAGCATGTTTAGTTTTAGGGTGTGTCTATGTTCACCCGAGTGTGGCTAGCACCTAACCAAGCACTTAGTTTTCCTCAGTGGTTCTCACATATCTGTAAACTTCATTTTATTCTTCTCCATCACCCACGGTTCATTCCACATACTTTCTGTCATAGATCTCATAGCCCATAAATATTAATGCACATTTTTTGAACTACTAAAGATTCTTTTTTAAAAAAAAATATTTAGAACGAATAACTTTCTTCACAACAGTTATGTATGGAGTACAATATTTGTGAATTGGTTAATTCATTTGTTAGTGGATAGGGGAGGGTTAGGGAGAAGAAATTTTTCTTTAAGCCAAACTTAGTTATTTCTATTGATGTTTTAAACTTTTTTTGATGGTTTCAAACATTTATATAATAAATTTTAGTCATTTTTACATGCCACACCCCCATGTCTCATCTATCTTCCTTTCCCACTGGAGTTTTCTTCTTGAGGCTTCCCCCTGGTTCTTTTATTATTATTATTATTATTATTATTATTATTATTATTAGATTTATTCATTCACTTTTCATCCTACCAAAGTTTCACTCCCTCCTCTCTCTCCTCCAATTCCCTCCCCCAATCCATCCTTCTCTGTTACTGTTCAAAAAGGGGCAGGCCTCTTATGAGTGTCAACAAAGCCTGGCATATCAAGTTGAGGTAGGGCTAAGCTCCTCCCCTTGTATTAAGGCTGGGCAAAGCAACCCAGTATGAGGAGTAGGTTTGGAAATCAGTATGGAGGTTTCTCAGAAAACTGGGAATAAATCTATCTCAAGACCTAGCTATACCACTTTTGTGCATATACCCAAGGAATATATGCTCAAGGTATGTGCTCAATCATACCACAAGGACACATGCTCAACTATGTTCATAGCAGCATTATTCATAATAGCCAGAACTGGAAAACAACTTAGATGCCCCCCAAAGAATGGATGAAGAAAATGTGGTACATATACACAATGGAGTATTACTCCTGTGTCTTTTTAAAAATTTTATTCTTTGAGGATTTTACACATAAGTACACTGTACTATCATCATGTCCACCTCTTACCCTTCCTGAGTCTCCTCTGTACCCTCTGGAATTAATGACCTCTTCCATATTTTTATTGTTTTGTACACACAACCTGCTGCATCCAATTAGTGTTGCCTATATGCACATGGGTTTGGGGCTGGTCACTTAGGCTTGGGAGACCTAACACGAATTCATGAATGCCTTTAGCTCTCATCTAAAAATGGGGCCTCATAAACCTTTTCTCCATCCATGTAGGCATTAGTCTAGTTTCAAAGATGCAGAGAAGAAAAGTCTTAGGTGGTTACTGTTATCAACTGACAGAATCCAGAATCATCCAGGAGATAAATTTCTGGGCATGTCTGTGAGGGATTTTCAAGATTAGCTGAATTGGAATGGGAAGACTCACCCTAAATGTGGGTAGCATTATTCCACGGCTGGATAGAAATGATTTCAACATCAGCATTCTTTTTATTTTATTTTATGACTGTGGGTGCATTGTGGCCACTCACTTCCTGTTCCTGCCACCAAACTTTCCTTACCTTGATTGACTTTACTCACAGACCATGACCCAGAACAGCCCCTCTGTCCCTTAAATTGTTTAACCTTAGGTATTTGGAAGTATTTGTTCACGTCAATGAAGAAAGTAACTAATGCAGACAGTACCACAAACAGCCAGAATGTTTCTTATGTACTTAAAAAGAAAGATTCCTAGAGCATTTTATAGCAAGTTTTGCTGGACACGTGAGTCTTAGCTCTGGGCAATGCTTACTGACCTTGACGCTGACACTGCCTTGCAGTTTGAGCTGTAGTCTGATCATGTCCACCTCATCTGTTGTGCACAGCTGATTAAGCTCAGAGACCTTCCTGGACATCTCATCAATTGCCACTTCAATGGGATTCAGTTCTGTACTCGACTGGCTGATGACCTGGATCCTCTTCTTCACATAGGGGAACAAGTGGCTGGCTGCACACAAAAGCCACACAAAGATTTAAAGGGGCAGAGAAAAGTCCCAGGTTCCTGTGAAAGTCCTCAGGATTTTGTATTGTCTCCAGCTCCTTCTCCCAGTGTCCCTTCCCACTTTCACAAGCTCACATCAACCTTCTTGGGGCTGCGTTAAGACTGCCAGAGCAGCCAGACCCAAGGACTATGGCATGTGCTGAAACTAGTCACTGGAATAAAATCCACAGGGACCTCCAGTCATGACTTCTTACTATAGAGAACAGCATATAGGAGCTCTACTTCTGATATGTTTTCACCACAATCATCCGGGTCAGCTTCCTGAAGGTGAATGCTTTTCAGAGTTTGGAAGTCAGTGTGATTCTTGGTGGTTCAATTCAAAACTGGGGTCTCTCAAGGTAGTTGGGTGTCTTCCTACAGAGGACCCTCACTCATTTCCCTTTGGGGGCTTAGCATCCTAGACCTATCTATGTCCCTACATTTAAAAAATTAATTTATTTTTTTATGCTGTCTTCCCGGGAATATCTTCTTTTGCTTTCGCCTTCGTTCTACCCCACCGTGAGCACCACGAGGGCATGGTCATATTTTATTTACTTGAATTGCCAGGACCCTGGGGAGATCCACCATCTAGTAAGCTCACAGTGTCTGTTAACAAATGAAAGGTAACTCGTTCACAGGGTAGATGCAGAGAGCATAGAATGAGGTATTGCAGATCAAGGTCTTCCTTTATTCTAGAGAAGAGCTGGAATCCTACAGTGGGAAGAATTTTGCCCTAAAGTCTATGATGCCAATAGCTGCTAACGCAGACGCAGGTAAGGGTGGATTCAGGGAGGGAAGGGGAGAGTTTAGTGTCCGTGTCTTTACCATGGCGTGACACCATGACACTTGTGAATATTTCACCTCCAGGGACAGGATGGCAAACTAACTCTACTGACAGTGTCTGCCCAAGCCTTTTTTTTTCTTCATTTTATTGTCATTTTGAGATGGAATCTGGCTATGTAGCCCAGGTTTGCTTTGAACTTAGGCTCCTTCCCAGTACTCGAATTAGACTTGCGCACCATCCCAGCTGGCTATGGGGCTTCCTCTTAGCAGAACATAGAGGGCAAGTCTCCTGTTCCCCCAAACAGCTCTAGGTCAACCCATTTTGGGGACTTATCTGAAGGACTGAAGTCTCCTGTTCCCCCAAACAGCTCTAGGTCAACTCATTTCAGGAACTTATCTGCAGGACTGAAGTAACCTCCTATGTATGTCCCTACGTGCAAGTGCACCTGTGCATGTGCGCATGTGTGTCCTAATACGCACACGGTCAGTATTGCTCCTCAGAAGTCCATTGCCTTGTTTCTGAGACAGGGCCTTTTATGAGATGGGGACGTGGGGTTCCCTGATTAGGCTAAGCTGGCTGGGCAGAAAGTGCTAGGGATCCACCCATCTCTACCTGCCCAGTGCTGGGATTATTAATACATGCTTGCATGCCTGGGACTTTTGGTGGGCTCTGGGATGGAACTCATGTTTTCATGCTTGTGTAGTAAGCATTTTACTCTCCCCAGCCCCTGCAGTAACATTTGACTTCTGCTAATCCAGCGCCAAAGAAGACAGGCTTGGCCTGAGGTGGGGAAGGTTGGCACCCTACACTTACTGGTCAAGACAGTCCTCCGCTTGCACTGCTCGGCCACTCCTCCATGCTTCTTGCCTGACAGAGTGAAGGGTGTCTCAAAGACAAAGCGATTGATGTTGTGATGCATCTCAAAATCTGTCTTCCGGTCCTCTATCTCCTTTTCTTCAAAGAAGGGCGTGACATAGGTCACCTGAATATAGGCATACTTGGGGTCCAGATCCTTGGGGTTTACCTGCGTCAACACAGTAAGGGTATAGCATGAGTAGTGAGCTGCAGTTGATTTATGAGTTCCCTTGCTGCCTCCTGGTGGATAAAAGGCTCTTGTGCTCTTTAGGCCATAGAAGACTGGGTGCCTGGCAGTGGTTAAGAAGCCTGGCTCTGGTTAGCAACATGGGTCTAGCGCTAACTCACCATGCTGGAGCCAGATCACCTTGTGGATCTTTTCAACACTGATTCCTGGCTAGGGCATTATTTAAGCTTTTATTCTGTGTCCGTTCTGTAATGAGTCACTCTTGTGCAGAGTGAAAGTTTCTTGGAAGCAGAAACACCTCTCTTTGTTCCTCTGTGGTATAGCTGTGTACTTACACTGGTACCGTTGGCTTTGGACTGTTAATGCAGAGAAAGGTTCCTTGTCTCCTTTAGCAGACTACCTGATTGCTTGTTAAATGACTGCAAATTTTTGTATTTTTATTTTTGACGTGTGTGTTGCATATGGGCATATGCGTCTTTGTGTGTGTATGTGTGTGTGTGTGTGTGTGTGTGTGTGTGTGTGTGTGTGTGTGTATGTTTGTGTATGTGTGTTTTCATGGGCACTGCTGAATTTGTGGGGACCTGGGAATCATCCTCCTTAGATCCTCCACCTTATCCATTGATGCACAGTCTCCCAGTAAAACCCAGAGCCCACCTATAATAGAGTTAGGCTTATGTTTCAGTTTGCTCCAGGGAATCCTAGGTCTCTGCCCTTGGAGGCAGGAATTGCAGGTGGGCCCCATGCCCAGCTGCCATTTACATGGGTTTCTGGGGACGTGAACTCAGGTTCTCATGTTTGGGTGGTACTTGCTTTATTGAGCTTTAACTGCTGAGCCATTTACCCAGCCCCAAGTTTTTGCATTTGCCGTATCTCAAATCCTTATAAGCAATAACCCATTCTACCCAACGTCTTTGCCAACTCTGCTTTGGTTCCTAGTCTTAATAATAGGAAGGAAATGGGCTGGACAGCTCAAGGAAATCTGAGGAGACTCCTCTGGCTCCCCTTTGAGTGTGGGGAAGACGATTCTCAGCCTGTTTCCTGAGGCATACTGAATTTTTAGACCTTTTTCCAATTTTCTCTATCTTTTTATCCATCCACTCCCTACCTAATTCTAGAAATTTCAGGAAACTTTTAACTATGTTTTATAATGCTGTTATTATTTACATTGCCAGGAAGGCACAATTGTAATCATTTTACACATTCAAATGGAGGTTTAGGATGGATCATTAACAATTTCCAGTGAACACATGCTAGTATAGTGGAATGAAGACCTGGGCTGTTCTGATATGACATTTACCTTTTTTCTCATCCCTGTGTTTACTTGTTTTGTGTGTATGGATCACTACTACAATAGTTCTGCCTGCTTTTATAGGGAAGTCAACTGTATCTTTCAAGCTAAGAATGATGGATATATTTTTAATAACTTGTGCCTAGACCCATGAATTTTGTGCCAAATTCCTCCTATTTTCTCTCTCGGTCACACTCTTACCCAACCTGCCTTCCAAAGACCTGTCATCCTAAACACAAGCAATCCTTCCTATCAGCATGGATTGGGCTCCTCAGAATGCTCCTGACTTTCAGTAACATATCTTATCCTGCAATTGGTTGCTCAAAAATCACCTCCTCTGGGTAGCACTGCCCAAGCAAATTGAGCTGTCTATAGCCTCATGCCCTGGGCATTTCCTGCACTGCACAGTGGTGACCTTTCTCCTGGTTCTCTAAGGCATTCTATTTAGTCAACGATTCATAAGAGTTTTTCCATGCATATGAACTGAGAGGTGATTCTGTGTCCCAGCTCCTAGCTCCGTGTATGGCAGACAAGTAGATGCTTGCTAGGGGTTGGCTGAAGAATGGTAATGCAGGGGAAGGTTGGGAGGAGTTTAATGAGAAGGTGTGTTGCTTCTTGGAGTCAGGAAGAGGTTCTTTAGATTTTCTCAACTTAACAGCATGTGATAGCAAGCCTGATTCTATTAGAAAGGACAGCTCTCCCAGAATGATGTAGCTTGCAAAGGTCTCCTGGACTAGGTAAGCAAATATGTTCTTCTTGGTTTCCTTCAGCTCTGCTTCTGAGCTCAGCCACTTTAATATTTTCGCTGCTATCCAAATGCAAATGGATTATGGGAAAAGTAGAAGGCTTGCTAAATTAAAGTTACTCAAGTAAAATCTTGTAAGTGTCTGAGAGATGGCACTGTGGTTAAGAGTGCTTACTGCTCTTGCAGATGATGACCTGGATCTGGTTAGTAGCGCCCATGTGCTAGTTCATAACCACCTACAACTCCAGTCCAGAGGGTCTAGTGTCCTCTCATGACATCTGTGAACACTTGCACAAACATGGTGCTCAACAATTCCTTTAGATACAGACACATAAATGAAAAAGAAAAAGGATATCCCCCAAACTTGCTGCTCAACTAATGAGCAAAATGTCTAATACTTTGGGTAGTTCATTTTGCATGATCAACTGGGAAATTAAAATGGTAGCTAGAAAATAAAAAGGATCAAGTCAAATCACATTGTATGAACACTATTTCCCTACCTTATTGGAGTCCTGAATTATCTTCACGTTGTCTGGTCCGAATTTGTCTGCATAGAGCTTGAGAAGTCTTTGGGAAATCTCTGAGAGACCTGTCAGCTTAGGCTCTTTGTAGATATACTCTTTACCTTCCTCCTCCTCAAAGAATCCCTAGGGGAGACACACAGTGAGCCACTTGCTTTATTAGAGACCGACAGTGACAAATTCCAGCAAGACAAAAAGCCATTGACTAAAAAAATGGTCCTGTTATTCAGTCGTCTGAAGTCATTAATTAGCAGCCTATGGAGTTCAAACCAGAAAGGGAGAAAGCAAAGGAAATAGAATACTGTGTCATAAACAGATAATAACATAAATATTCCTCTGAGAGGCAAAGGAATGTCAGCCAGTGCATATCCTACACATATCTTCTCTACTTGTAGAAATCAGAAGTACTTGCTTGCATATAAATTGGAGAAAGAATGCCCTCTTGTGGTAGTCTTAAGTAGAACACAAAATTTTGAGTATCTGGCAATTTTTAAAACATTCATTGCCATTTTAAGTTAAGTCTTCTATAAGTCTTTAAAAATAGGACAGGTGACACCGTATGACATGCAAGGGTATCTAAATGTGTTACCACACATTCCCACATCATCTGGTTGAAGACCTGCGATATTGTATTGTTATTGTGATAGAAATTACACATGGTACGCTCCAATTACAGCTATTTAAAAATATCCACATTAATACGTCTTCAAAGACTTTAAGGTACAAGCTAGCCATATGTAACTTAATCACTCAGTTATTAAATTCTGGAAAACCTGGACTTTGCAGGACTAAAAATAACACCCACACCATCATTTTTATTCCATAAGATCCCAGTGGGTTTCAGCCTTTATAAATCTGTCTGGTTTGAAGCCAGGGAAAAAGAAGATCCTATTATCTGTAGATAACTAAGTGAGAAATTCCTTATAATTCATTCTCTTTGAAGAGACAGGAGCATGTCTCCTCCTGACCCTGTGGAATAGATGTGGGCTCAGAATATTAGATGAGCTCCGAGTGAAGATCCTGCATTATCTGTTTCTTCTGATGGCAGAGTTTACCTATGAAGAAATGGATTTTGAAGTCTGTAAAACTACTGAGTTCGAAAACAAACAAACAAACAAACAAACAAAAACAAAACCCCAACAACACTACTAAAAAAATTGTTTTTGAGGGGTTGGGGAGTGGTTAAGCATTTAGCAGCAAGTGTGAAGACTGGAATTTCAATCCTTAGAACCCAGGGCTTCGGACTGCCTTCCTGTAATTCTAGCCCCAGAAGATGGAGAAGAAGGGGCCTTCAAGTAAGCTGGTTAAGGACACTAGCCATATCAATGATCTCGGGGATTGACTGACAGGCTCTGCCTCGTTGAATAATATGGAAGAGTGATTCAGGATGATTCTCTCTCCAGCCTCTATACGCATGAGCACTCATGTGCACACAGACCCCCTAACACATGTGTGCTCATACTTGTGCAAACACACACCTATGCATGACAAATACATACATATGCATGGCATTCACACAAATGGAAGAAAGAAAAATTATTTTTGACTACAATATTCATTACTTGTGAAAAATTGTGGACAAGTGTCCTAATGCTGTATTTTTGATGGATGGTATGAGGTTACTTAAGAATAATGATTCAACTCACAACTGTTTGGTGTTGAATATTTGCATAGTCCTTGTTCTTGGGCCAATGTGACCATCAACAGCTCATTATACAACATAGAGGGCTATAGGGTTGCAGAAGCCAATGCCCAGGATCCATTTCCCAGCGCTGTCCTGTCAAGCAGGCACTGCCTATCTGCTTGCCCATCTTCCTAATTGACACTGGGTTTTCAGGGCATGAGACAATGCATCCCCAGCTTTTGACACATTGTCTGGCCTTAGGAAGAGGGTCACTGTATTTGCCAGATGAATAAGTAGATGGATGAAATTGTTTTTAGAAGACATATATCTCACGAAAGTATAAATACACCTGGCAAAGATTCCCTTGCTCTTTATTAAAAAGCTAATATTGAATAATTCTTTGATAAACATGCAAACCCAAGTAGCTGATTTTGAACTTCTGGGTAACCCTGAATGGCTAGAAGGCGGCTTATGATGTGGAGAGCATAGAAAGCTGAAAATTGGTTCCTGACCATTTCCCTAGACCCCGCAGGGGTGAAAGAGGTCTGATTCTCTTCCTGTGGGATGCCTGCCTGCTCTGCTTCTTCCACTGCTGACTGTGGGCTTTAACCCAATTTAAGGTCAGGAGTCAGCAGCGAAAATTGACAGATTGACACATCAGAGGAGTAAGCCTGGGGAAGCTAAACACCAGGATTCCCGAAGGGTCTCAGCCAAAGCAACATTTACAATTTCAATTGCAGCAGAAAAAAAAAGTCTCCAACTTCAGGAAAAGACTCCACCCCACTACTCCCCTCCACCCACATGGTATAGAAACTAGTGTGGAGAGACATGTTCTCTGTGACTTTTCCTTCTGACAAATTTCTGAATCCTGGGTCAGCAGGGAGTGGACAGACGCAGGACCTTTGTTGTGGTCATTGTAACTTTTTGACCTCAGTTGTAACCCATGATTTTCTTTCATGCCTCCTCCTTGGCCTGTAGGATGGAGAGCATACATTCAGCCATTGTGTTAGGAACTCCTAGGTGCAGTGTCTGGTCCACAAAGGACCATTCGTGAGTATTAGCTAGGATAATGATGATGACAACCAAGGAAGACTTCATAGTCATCAAGCAGGTTGAGTTCTGACTTGCATGTAAAGCTTCCTGCAGTTTCATTGCTTAAGAATACAATCCCCAGCATCTCTTCCATCAGAGCTGTACATTTTCCTTATTACAACATGTCTACTTGATGATCATCACAATATTTGGACAACTGATTGGTGAGAAACAAATAATCCTTAGAAATTTTTTCCTCTTGAAGTTTTCTTTTTGTGTATGGTGCTATTTGTGTGATGAGTAATCATGTGTATGAGTGTGTGTGTGTGTGTGTGTGTGTGTGTGTGTGTGTGTGTGTGTGTGTCTAACATGGACCACATTTGTTGTAGAATATTATTTTAAGGTGGGTTACTTTTGTTTATGTTGCATTTGTTTAATTCTGTGAAGCTGTGTTACTGTGCCTGTCTAAAACACCTGATGGTCTAATAAAGAACTTAATGGCCAATAGCAAGGCAGGAGAAAGATAGGTAGGGATGGCAGGCAGAGAAAATACATAGGAGAAATCTGGAAGAGGAAGGAACCAGAGGAGGAGGAGGACTTTAGGGGCCAGCCACTCAGCTACACAGCCAGATACAAAGCAGAAATAATGAAAGGTATACAGAGTAAGAAAAAGGTAAAAGCCCAAAGGCAAAAGGTAGATTGGCTAATTTAAGTTAAGAAAAGCTGGCAAGAAACAAGCCAAGCTAAGGTCAGGCATTTATAGTTAAGAATAAGCCTCCATGTGTGATTTATTTGGGAGCTGGGTGGCAGGACCCCAAGAGAAAAAAAACAACTAACAACACACATCAGGTGTCTTTCCTGGATCACTTTTCACCTTTAGTTTTTGAGACAGGGTTTCTCATGGAACCTGAAGCTTATAGATTTGGCTAGGCTAGGCTGTTTGATCAGTGAGCTTCAGATACCCTTCTGTCTCTGTTCTCAAGGCCAGGGTTACAGGGATCTGTTGCCATGCCACATGTTTTTCATGTGGGTTCTGGGGATTTGAACCGGTGTCCTTGTGCTTTCATAGCAAGCATTTTGACACTCAGTCATCTTCCTAACCCCAGACATTCCCTCCCCTTGTGTGTGTGCACCTGCGTGCACACATGCATGTGGTATGATAATTTTGAGACAGAAGAAAGAAGGGTAGCAGGATTAATATGTTGTCTGTCAGGGTTTAAGAAAGGTACTTTTTGAGCCGGATCAATGGCAGCTGTGGAAATATTTGGAATGGATGCTTACCTTTTGACAAGGAAATCATTAAAGAGGGCAGAGGCCACTGAGCTACCAGGCATGATCTGAGGGAAAGCTTCACTCCCAGACATATAATGTCAAATATAACTGCCCACAGAGTCAGTGATTTAGGAATGGGCTGTGTGTGATGCAAACCTGTAACATGAATTGCTAAATGGTCTTATTAATAAAAACAAGCCTGGAGCCAGATATTGGGGTGAAATCTGAAAGATCAGAGAAGCCGAAGAAGCCACAGCCAACCCCACTTTACCGATCCTGTTTCCACGAATCCTCAGACTGAAAGCCTCTGAGTCCTCACCCCTGAGGGTCTCAGTTGAACTGCTGCTGAGCTCCTGTCTCTTCAGGCCTTATATAACGTTCTCCACCCAGCCATGCCACTTCCTGGGATTAAAGGCGTGTGTGCTTTCTAAGCAAAGGCATGAGGTCTCAAGTGCTGGGATTAAAGGAATGTGCCACCACTGCCTGACTCTGTTCTCAGTGTGGTGTTGAACTCACCGAGATCCCGATGGATCTCTGCCTCCCAAGTGATAGGATTAAGGGTGTGCGCCACCATTGTCTGGCCTCTACGTCTAATCTAGTGCCTGGCTCTGTCCTCTGACCCCTAGATAAGTTTATTAGGGTACACAATATATCACCACACAAACCAAGGGGCAGCTTCCCACTTTGCTCTGGTGTCCGGGTTGTGAATTGACTGCATTTCCAGGCAGTGGGAAATGTGGTCTGCTCATGGCTATAGCTGGTTTGATTTTTTTTATCCAAAGTTATTCCACCATGCAGTATGTGCCTTAATGTGTTGTCATTCTGAAGCAGCACATTCTAATTAAGCAAGTAATTTGGGTCGGTCAACACATGTAGACTGTGAAACCTCAAGGCATTAAACATGGATATAAATCCACTTCAATGGACTGAAAAATAAAATTGTTGATTCTGTTCTAGATTTTTTACAAGTTCTTCAGAATATTGAAGTGCCCTTGGATCATAACTGGGATGTCAAATATAACTGCCCCTGCTGTAATGTTAGAATGGTCCAAAGTTCACAAATGAAATAATTCAGTCCAAGAAGAATCGGTGCAGAAATGTTAGCAGTAGGCTAAAAGCTTTGAGAAGAGAAAACACAAGAATGCAGAAAAATTGTTCCTAGTAAATAGGAGTTCATTATGTTTAGTCTCTCTCTCTCTGGTGTGTGTGTGTGTGTGTGTGTGTGTGTGTGTGTGTGTGTGTGTGTGTGTGAGAGAGAGAGAGAGAGAGAGAGAGAGAGAGAGAGAGAGAGAGAGAGAGAGAGAGAGAGAGAGAGAGAGAGCCAAGATCAGTGACTTTCATATAGGCACAGAGCTGGAAGAGCATATCACATCCCAAACAGAGATGTTATTTTATTTTCAAACTGCTCACATACTTTCTCCACTCCCTCCAAGTTCTTTTCCATCAGATTATGAAATACATCTACACTGAAGGAGACATGACCAAGAGTCATGCAATCTATATCTGTTGATGCACCAAATAAATCCCCTCACCCCTTTATTTTTCAGCTAATTCCAGGAATATCTGATCTCTGAAGCTATGCAATGAGCACTTGTTGGCTTGCTTTCTTACTAAAGGCTAGGGCCTAAGGGTTTCATTGATTACAGGCCGTGTTTGATTACTACTGGCGTTTCCTTACTCTGGCAATGGATCCTTGAGGAAACCTGGAGAGATGCTTTCTGCAGGCTGTTATATCCATAGCCAATGATGACAGCTGCTGTGTGAGAAACTCCATGCTATGCACGACTTGCATTTTTTTAAAAAGTCCCTGCTGTGAAGAAAGAGTTTTCAACTTGTTTGCTAATGTCTGCCACATTGCAGACTTGGTTAAGATTAAATACCCTAGCCAGTACTCACAGTGCACTAATGTACTCAAAGGATTTTGTAGAGGCAAAGAGCCCATTTCATGTTATATTCACATTATTATTATTATTATTTTTTTTAGCATGATTGCATGATGCATCAGTGTGTATGTTAAAAGGTGTTTTTCAGAAGAATATAGAATGCCATCTTGAATAAGAAGCTGCTTTTTTGAGTACGGGGATTATACTAATCATGCACTGGAGAGTTCATCTCTGAGCTCTGGAACCTTCATTCTGCACAGGTTCAGGAGGATGCACAAGCCTACTTTGGTTTACTTATTATCATCAAGGTGAATGGATGGGAGCTGTCTACTCCTGTTGAATACCGCAGTTCACACTTACTATTTGGTGCCCTGGTGTGTGCATTTGAATATCATTTGCATAATGGTCATTAGAACTCTTGCTACTTGTCAAGATGAAATCTACAGGTTCTCCTTGTCCAAAGGCAGTTGATGGTGGAACTTATGGAGGGTCATGCTTAGGTAATATTATCAGGTCTGCACATAGTAAAAAATATTTTTTCTTCTGAGCTCTGATTGGATTTATTTTTCTTAATGAAAGGCAATTGATAGTCCTGCCACTGTTACAAAAGAGTCAGGTATACCACCAGCATATTTTTAAGAAATCTGAAAAAAGAAACATGTTAGGTCATTTGAAAGCAACATCCCCCAATGGCCTCCTCAGTCTATTTAGTACGTGATTTCCCAAGCATTCTTCTAGTAGGTAAGTTAAGGATGGACTCATGAGCTCAAGTTTGTAAATGAAGGTATAAAATACCCACATGGCATGGAGGTAGGAAGGAATTTAAAGAATTACAAAAAAGTATGCATTGTTCATAGGAGAAGAGCTGAATGGTGACAGAATGTGGGCATTGAAAGAATTTTACTCTCCACTTTAATGGACAATAACTATATCAAACCACATAAAGATACCATTTTCATAGGTTAAAATAATGCTAAAGATAGGCAATTTCAAAGACAATTCTTTTCCCAAGAGTTCTTGATACTGGTAGGTAATTTCTGGTCTGATTATGTTCTGGGTCTTTCTATACCTCTTTCTGCAGCTCTGAAGACTTTGCCTGTTGGGTGAAGTTTTTTTTTTGCCTTAATTCTTTGTGTTTGAAATTGTTAGCATCATCTTTAAAGGATAAGACTCTGCCGATAGACAGCCCTATTTCTCAAAGAAATTCCTTGTAAAGGACTCTGGGAAGGACTCTAGTCTCTAGTCCTGTAAACAGCCACTATTTCAACTTCTCACCACCTTCAGCTCCATAAGGCAATGATTCTCAACCTGTGAGTTGTGACCCACTGGGGTTTCGTATTAGATATCCCACATATCAGATATTTACATTACTATTTATAACAGTAGCAAAATTACAGTTATGCAGTAGCAATGAAAATAATGTTATGGTTGGGAGCCAACACAACATGAGGAACTGTATTAAAGGGTCACAGTATTGGGAAGGTTGAGAACCACTGCTGTACGATTTGACTCATGATAGCTCAAATAAGCAGGTGATCTCCAGTATTAAATCTATTCCGAATCTATTTAAGGTGTGTGATATCTGTATCTACTCTGTGTGTGTGTGTGTGTGTGTGTGTGTGTGTGTGTGTGAAGCTTCTGGATTACACCCTCTACTTTTGTGGAGAAATGTAGTGTGCATAAAAAAGATACATTTTTTGTAATTCAGGTAACTGGAATAAATAGAATTTAGTTCAAGAAAAGCAAGATGGCTCCATAAAGAGTCAAAGCAGTCCTCTCACTCTTTATACCCAATGTTGATCTGTACCAAAATGTTAAGGTTCAGTAAAACTGTGAGGAGGGAAGTAGTGTGAGGATTATTAGTGATGCAAAGGGACACAGAGAGAACGAACTTACCACAGCCTGGAACAATCAAGACCAAAGGGAGAAAAGAGCAAACATCTGCATTAAAAACCAGCAGGAAAGCAGCAAGGCCTGCTCCACCTGTGCAGGAGCTCCTATCTCACACACTGGTTTGCACAGTCAGGGCATTAATGGAAGCTCGCTACTCGTTGATTGCCAAGTCACCTGAAGATTTGCCATCATAGCCTGGGTAGCAAAACGCCCCTCACATGCCACTGTTTCTCTGCTCAGTTGGTCTGTGTTTTCTCTCCAGTCATCCAACCCCTACATACCCTTCTTGGTGGGATTTTCTGTTATTTTTCTTGCTCATGCTCCGCCAATGCCACACAGTGTGTATTTCTTCTGACATACCATTTCCTCTCATCTGAAGGTCCTTTCACATCTCTCTCTTCCTCAGCAGATACTCACACTGCGTCTAGCTCAGATTCTTTTTATCCTCCTTTCCCGTGTCTATAATTAGCTTGTCTCTATCGACTCTTCTCATATCACTACATTTCTCTGTCTCTACAGTTGTGATGCTGTTGGGTACTGAGAGGAATCCAGGTAGGATGAGGTTGATTACTGAGGTAAACTACTCGGGGGTCCTTTTCAGGTAGACAGAATCAGAAGTTAGTTTTAAAGATACCCTTTGTGGTCAGAGGGAAGTCTGTTTTTCTAAAGACTTCAGTGGGAAATTATCTATATGAACAACAGTGGACCAGACTCCATCTGTAGCCTTAATAGATTATGAGGAGAAGCTGTGAGCAACCATGCCTCAGATGAGGGAGACGAAACAAGTGAGAGGTCTGAGAGTCACTGTGAGTATAAAATAGGCTGGTGTATCTGTCTACACCAGCCAAAAAGACTTCTGCTGAGCTAGAAGAATGCCACAGCCTTCCTGAAAAGGAACCATGGTGTCCCCTGGTGTATACCTTTAAAGCATCACTACTGAGAGAGAGTCATAATTAGTAACACGTCCCTTCAGGCCAATGCAAAGCCTAGCTGATACCTTTAATCCTGTTCATTGCTAATGCAGTGCATTGAGAAAGATAACTTTAAAATCACGTTGGCCTGTGACACAGGAAACAATATACCCTTGTGATGGTCTGCTTTGAAACAGTGGTGATTTGAAAACAACTCACATGATTGCAAAGTCAGTGGGTGGAAAATGTGGGCAATTCAGGGTGCTGTTTCTTAAAACATGCCTGATTTGATTTTACTTTAATCTGTCACGTAAACCTGTTAGATATGTTAGGATAAAATTCAAAGCAAAGAAGACAAAGAAGAAGTCTCCTTTTATTCCAAAGCTAAGAATGACTTAAAAAAAACTTAACATGTATAAGTTTCATAGATTTCTCTGCATATTTGTGATTAATACATTCATACGAACGAACTAATAAGCAGTCACATTCATAGAAGCACTCTCATAAGTTCAGGCACATCCCTCCCCTCGTCCACTGGTATATATAGTCAGATGTCTTACAAAGAATGGAAGACAACAATTAGAATGGAGTGGTCAGGCCGTGTTACTTCTAGAGTACTCACCTGCCCGTAAAATGCCACTCTGTAGTAGCGACCAAACAAGCGCTTCTCGGAATTCACCACCTCTGCCACTTTCAGATAGGATCGGTGGATGTCGTAGTAGAGATCGGATAGTTTCTGAAACCATAAACCAGAGGGCTTTGTGAGGACAATGCCGACATCAAAAGAGAACATTGCTACGTCTGGATGCTGTAAGTCATCTGCCAACTCAAAGTGAGAAAGTTCCACGGCTTTCTAGGGGGATGGAACACGTACTTTGAAGTCTCGTTGCTTTTCAAAGACCGCGATGATGGGCTTATTGACATCAGCGATGAGTTCGTATCGTTCAGACTTCCACAGGAACTCCACGCACATGTATAGCTGTTCCACCAGGATATTCTGCAATTTCCCCCGAGAAAATGAGGTTTCTATGTGATTAAAGATGTAGCTCATTCCTGATTAGCCTTAAGTGATTTTTGGATTCCCGATCTTCATTATTGAGATTACAGCCCACTATGGGATTGCTGTACCATCTTGGATTCCCCTGTTTCCCTCTCATTATCACAGACTAAACTGTGCAATGAATGTACCGAGTTCAGACCTTTTTAGTTCTTTCCATGGCTATTGTCACCGATGCTTATTTCCCACCCCTGCCCCTTCACTCTCCAATGTGGAGCAGTTTTCTAGCAAACAGGTGTCTCTCTCCAATGTCTGCTCTTCAGTGATACTTCTTTTTAAAACATAAATCTGCTCCCATGATCTCCACCCCCATAAACCTTTGTAGAAATCTTGTTTATACAACACTATCTGATTTCTCCAGACTGACATTCAAGATGGCTCACAATCCCTCTTTCGAATTCTGTCCTTGTTTTTCCCTCTGCCTCCAGCTTTCTACTTCACTACATCATTAGAATGCTTCTGTCCTCTACACTAGTGTTCGTGCTGCTGATGCACCTGTAAGAACACTCCTTTCTTACACGATACCGTGGTGTCCTATCTAACATTAATATTCATTATACAAATATAGAGAGCTTTTACTGATGCCTACTCACCTCCATTACAGTCACTTTCATGTAAAAAACTGTCATCCTTTAATTACAAAAAATAGATTGCCTCAATTCATAGTATTTGGACATCTATTTTGAACGGACTACTTTTCACCTTGAAGGAAATCTGTTTTTATTTCCAAGATTCTAAAGTCTTCAAAAGTAGGGAATGTGCCTGATTTATTTTTGTTTTCCTGTTCTTAATACAATGTCTTTCAGAGTGGTGCTATATTAATTAATACATCCAACCGTGTGAAATTATAAATTATTAATCTCCAAAGCAAGCATATGCGATTTGAATATTTCTGACAGTATCTTTTGATAAAAGGCTCTTACACATCATTTGGAATCATGACTATAAACTCCAATTGTATTTACTATAGTCACTCACAGTATGCACCAAGCTAATGTAGAATTGTTTGCAAAAGTTCATAAAACACATCTCCCAAATTTGTTTTCTTTCTTCCATACCTATATTAATACTAAGACTTTAAAAAATTAGTTTATGGATTTTTTATTTCTTGGCGAAGAAAACTCTGTTGTATTCACCAGAATTTTTGTCATGTGATTTCTACTAGAAAACTGCTTTTTCCTGAGAACTAACCAGCTAATTCCCCACAGAAATCGTGAACCCTTCTGCTGAGCCAAAATTGTAAATAAATAAACTCGTGTAAGAAACAGCTGTGACGAGCTCATAAAAAATTAAGTGTCCCTTACTACATTTTCCCGGAGAGTAGGGACTGTGCATCTTGCAAAAGAGCTGACTATACACATCTGAGTAAGAGAAACAAATCAGGCTCAGTGTAAAATTTCAAGAAGATTATGCATTATCAATACAGTGTTCTGTCTGCATATACACTTGCAGGTCAGAAGAGGGCACCAGATCTCATTACAGATGGTTGTGAGCCACCATGTGGTTGCTGGGAACTGAACTCATGACCTCTAGAAGAGCAGCCAGTGCTCTTAACCTCTGAGCCATCTCTCCAGCCCATTATCAATAGAATTGATATCTACTAATCTTGGTCTTCTTTGAGCCTCAACATTACATTGTTTAACAAAGTCACAATGGGGAACAATTTCATCTGACTTCTTGAATGCACACAAAAATTATAATTCAGTGCATTTTTAAACTTAATTAACATTAGATCAATTGAATCCAACCTCATTGTATGGTGTATCTTGCATTCCAGAATCCTCTTTCATTGCTCCTTCTTCTTTAATGTTTGGAGTGATGCTCAGAAAAGCTGGCCATCCCATAGAGAACATGCCTTAGGGGGGAATCAAGCACAATGAAATATCGTTTTAGGCCATTGATATTGAGTTAAGAGCATGGCTTGCTTCATGAAGTTAGTATTGGCGGTATCTTAACACACACAGTACACAGGAGAGTTAGATAGATCATGGTTTCTGGAGTTGCCCGTGTTCACTGATCTCTTATCAGATACACATTGCAAGAAAGGGATCATTTACTTCTCCAACTTTGAAACCTCATAACACAAAAGGATATTAAGCACTCAAATATGTCAGTGGGATTCAGCAGATTGATATATTGATAGATAGCAATACATGCTAATGAAGCATGTATTACCATTTCAGTGTTGACTCATAAGTATATCCCCTTTTCAGTAGGTGTAGCGTATTATAGCCAGCATTACCTTTAAGATGACAGGGGGTGTTTAAAGTGCTTGAATACTGAAGAGCCCCAGAACTAACTGGGACATAAACCGACACTTGAGTTTTATCAGTTTTCTTCAGTTTGGTTTTAGATACAATGTGAAAGTCTTTATGTTGCTCTACAGGAGCTATAGATGATAAGCAGCTGAGCAGGAAGGGCATGCTAAATAAAGTGATGTCTGACGACTTGCTTATAAAAATTATTACGCATGGTATATGACAGTTACGCATGGTGGATTTGCTCTTGTGGTGTAGACCTGATCTCTTCTCCAAAGTCCCCAAGCAAGAGACCTCACTATCTCACAGTTCATTTAGGAGATTTGGTTTTAATGCATTATTTAGCAATTTTACTATGATTTTTAAAAAATATATACAAGTTTATATGAATAAGAAAATGAATTGTGCTTTTGAAATATTGCAAATTAAAGTCCATTTCCATTTCTATTAAAGTCCATTTTGATTCTAACTCTACACTGAGTTTTCAACAGCAATTTGCAAGCTAAAATAATGTTATCAAGTAGATTTTAGTTCAGAAATTTTGTACTTGAATGAACTTTTAAAGAGATTGTAGATAAAAATGTACTAATGATACAGCTACATTTTTACACGGAGAAACCCTAGCTGTTACAAAATGTTATTATACTTTGAAGGTGGACTATTTTCAGTGAAAGTAAATAAATATCATTAATCATATGTTATAAATTGTCAGAGTAAATTATTATTATTATTATTGTTGTTACTATTATTATTGTTATTATTAATTTTGCAGTACTGGAAGTCAAACACCAAGTCATACACGTTCTAGGCAAATACTCTGTCACTGAGATACACAGTCTTTAAGAAGTGAAATAGAACATGCCTATCATAAAGGCATATACATCTATGTGAATGTATAATATCTACATTCTTATTTTGAATAAACTATTACACCCACAAACTAGACTCTCCTTGCAAGTTTACATGCTTTATTAATTTCAAACTAAAATTCTAATGGTGAGCCAGCATGGCTGCAGGTATGAAACCATAATTCATAATCCTGAAGATTGGATAATACTCCATTTGCTGAGAACTGAGAAGCAAGCTAAAATTCTTAAGGGATTTCTGAGTGGTCAGTGCTTGAGATTTTTATACAGTAAGCTCTGTTGACCTGAAATGGCTTTTGCTTCTAAGAACACATTCGCAGAGGTTTCATGGAAGCAAGATTTAAGCTGTAAAGTTGATTTCCTTAGCATCAAAGGCAAATGAACACAGATCAACTCACTTCCTCCACCTGGAGTTGTTAGTAATGGGTTGTTACCACAGGGATGGGTGTCTTCTGGAAGCAGGGGTGGTGGGCAAATCTTTTCCATTTTCCAGTAACCTATGGTAGTGCAAGATGAGGTTAAGGCATGGCTGCACATTCTGGTTAATACAAGCTTATGGAACCACAGATTGTTAATTAATGAGACATCACCATTATTTGGAAACAAGAAGTTGGCCATCCAGTTAGCCTCACTGTACATAACATGACTATGCCAGGGAAATCATAGAATTAAAAATATTGAAGTATGGCATAATGAGAAATGTTTATTAAAGTGAAAGTTATTTAATAAAACATAAATTTAATGATTTATGTAAACTTAGATCAGGATGCTGATTCCCAGGTTCTTAACCCCTTTACAAGGCCCTCTTACCCTTGCGTTTGAGGTATTCTGCGATGAGTGCAGCTATATGGATGTAACACATAGCAGCCTACAATAAAAACAGAAAACAGAGATTCCAAGGATGGATTTAACTCTTCATGAAACTAGTGGTTTCCCAAGGGGAGTCAGTGTGCCCTCTCAGAATATGTCATGTAGACTAACCCTATGTCATGAAAAAAGTGAAAATATTAATCAGTTGGACTTTTTCAAAGTTCATTACCAAAAATAAAATGAATATTTGAGGATTTTTTTGTTTATTATTCTTGATATAGATTTGACATTGGATGAACTTGCTCTCCTAAACATTTTTTTCCCACAAAATAACCTCCCCTCCTTTATTAATGTCTAATCATAACACTACTATTTTTAAAGCTACATATATTTTTTCTCAAATCTATATAGACTATAGTATCTGAAGAAAAACAAAATAAAAAAAATCAGCCTTCTAAATTTTACTGTCTCTAATGCAGGTTTCTCTTTAATTTCTCTTTAATTTAGAGTTAACCCATCAGTTAGCACTTGGTTGCATTATATAAGCTCCTCAAACTGGTTATATGGGTAATATTTTATTTTTCTTACTGATGCTTTGATCATTGCTGGATATATTAACTCTTGACTTGATGAAGGTCCTAGGGCTTCAGAATTCTTCTTTTGAGGTTTCATGAAGTGATCTTGCCATTCTCAGAGAAATTAATGGTAACTGGAAATGTTCACCAAACTGGCGGAGTCAGGTTTCTGCTTTCTGTTCTAGAGGCCCTTATTACCAAATGAGCTCCAGGTTTTAGGCTTATCCTAGATAAACCTAGTAACAATTTCTACAGTTCTGGGAAAAGGCAGAATTTCCCTAGTGGTGACCCAGAAGCCCCTGGATGCTATGGATTGCTGTGTGTAAATCCATTCAGCATTACCACTGGCATAGAAAAGCCAAGTATTGATATACCATCTTCACACAGTAGGCTCTCTTCTCCATGGCTGGTTCAGATGAACTTTGATGAACTTACCATAGAAACAACCTTCCCTGCTCCACCCCAATTTCAGGGAACAAGTTTGCAAACACAGAATATTAATTCTGATATAATTATTAATTTTGGAGTACTTTTTAACAACATCCTCTTTAGCTTCAGGTTTTAGACATCTATCTTCTCCTGCACTGCATTTCAAACAGTTGATGTTGGCACCTCCATATCTGGCCACAATCTGATGTCCTCTACTTAGAACCAGGTGTCACTGAGCCCTACATGAAAGTTAGTGACCTTGCTATATAAATGTATGTTATATACATTGGTGGAATATATGGCACTTTTGATACTTCATGCTGTACATAAAAAGCAAATTATTTGGATAAGGAGGGCAATGTTGATGAAGAATGAGTGAGCCTTTGCTCATCACCTCAGACAGATCTCCATTTCTTGCATGAATCTTGGCCATGCTCTCCAGCCAGGTCCTCCGCAGCTCAGGGGTACTTGCGTAGGAGTTTGCTAGGCTGTATTGGAGGTCCACCAGCATCTCAGGGTCCTTCTCATGCTCTTTCATCTGGGCTGTGGCCATCAAAACAGTCCTTATACGTTTAGTCAGATCTTTCACCTCTGCTGGGAAATTGCTGTTCTTTGGAAAAGAGAGAGCCTGGGTCATTATCTGTTTAGCATTCAATTATTAACTTCAACCTATACTCTTTAAAAAATTACTTTATTAGTTTATGTGTATGGGTGTTTCACTTGCATGTATGTTTGTGCATCACAAGTTTGCCTGGTACCCTCAGAGGCCAGAAGAAGGTAATGGATCCCTTGGATCTGGAGTTATGGACAGTTGTGAGCTTCCATGTAGGTTCTGAGAATTGAACTCAGGTCCTCTGGAAGAGCAGCCAATGCTCTGAAACACTGAGCCGTCTCTCTAGCCCTTCAACGTATACTCTTAATTATGCCTTGACATCACAAGTTCTTATGTTTTATGTGTTGTTCATAAATGTATGCATTCTATACATTGCAGTTCTGACTATATTCAAATATTTGGTAATAAGAATTATGGAGAACTCTACTATCCGATAGCCCAGCTTTCTAGCAATAACTTCCTAAGTGCCCTTGAGATTCTGTCCTCTCTGAGTCTAGGTCATGCCACTTGAACAAGTTTTGACTTCATTCCTGTTGATGGCATGTGGCACTGGACTGGCCAATCATATTTTGTATGTATGTATATGTATGTATGTATGTATGTATATATATATACATATATACATATATATATATATATGTGTGTGTGTGTGTGTGTGTGTGTGTGTGTGTGTGTGTGTGTGTGTATAGATCAAAGATGTTCCTTTTCTTGGCTTGAATTGGTAGTGTTTGAAGAGGTGCTTCTCCATTCCTGACGCAAGAGTCCTTACACTTTCAGAGGGAAATCCATTAGGCAAATGAAGAAAAGCTGATGCAATACATAGACGAAATAAGCAACAGAGGGAGGGCCTTTCAAAGAATTCTCTTGACCTCTAGATCAAGCCATGACTGAAGCTTTTTCTACTTCTAGCCTTTCAAAAAGGCTAAAAGAAGAAAAAAGAGGAAAAGATGAATTTGCTTATGATGATTATGAATAAATAATGATGTGTCTGATACACTTTTTTATTTAACAATTGAGCCTCCATCTTAGAAATTCCATCTAAAACATCATGTACTGAAAGTGTGAGAACTAATGATTATCAATTTAAATAAGCCAACAATATGAGCGATCAAAGTCTTGATAAGCTAAGCACAGAATTCATAAACATCCCATGATTTTGATGTCAAAGAAAAACTCCATCTCAGTTTACTTATGATTATTTAGAAATAAAGGCCCAGGAAACATCTCTTACTTTCATCTGTTTATCTCCATTGGCAAAATTGTTGGTAATTGCAAGGGAATGTTGAAACCGAGATCCTCCAATCCCTGCATCGGCTATTAACTGGCTCACTGCCTTGATGAGCTGGAAGATAAAAGAAAGAAGGATCCCTCTAGATCAGTGGTTTTCAACCTTCCTAATGCTGCGACCCTTTAATACAGTTCCTCAGGTGGTGGGGACCCCCAACCCTAAAATTATCATCACTGCTACTTCATAAATGCAGTTTTGCTACTGTTATGAATCAAAATGTAAATATCTGATTTGCAGGATATCTGATATGCAGCCCTTGTGAACAGATTGTTTGCCCCCCCCCCCCCAAAAAAAAAGAAGTCGCAGTCCACAGGTTGGGAAACACTGTTCTAAAGCAAAATGAGAATTTACATTTTGTGTTTTGTGGATGCCTGTGGGAAGATGAGGGCATGCTTGCATGGGTGCACATCTGCATGAGGAGGCCAGAGGTCAACTGTGAATGCTGGTCCTCAGGTGTCATCCATTTTGCTTTTTGAGACAGGCTCTCTCATGGGTCTGGAGCTCAGTAAGTAGGCTAGACTAGTTAACTACTGGGGTCTTCCTGTCTCTGTCCCCTCAGTGGTGCGATTACAAGCATGTGCCATTGCACCTGGCTTTTTTAATCATGGGTTTTAGGTATTGAACTCAGGTCCCCAGGCTTACTAGGCACACAACCCACAGACAGAGTCATCTCCCTAGCCTAGAAACAGTATTTTTAAGGGGACCGACTGGGTTAGATAAATATATCATTAATTACTGCTAGAAGGTTCAATGAATGACATCTTTAAGTATACAGTCTTCAGAAGGCCACATGATCTAAGGACCTCATTATAATTGTAAATATCCAAGGAGAGATTCAAGAATCTTGTAATCTTGGCACGCCTTGAAGAAAGACACGGTTGTCTTTAGAACTTGGTGAGATTTGGCCTCCTGATTAACCCTGACTGTCAAGAGTTGTTTTATTCCATGAGATTCTAGGGCATGGGCAGAAGAAACAACATGGCGAGTGGAGATGTGACCTGAAGTCTGATAATTTCTCACCAGCTCTGCTCTCATTTAAACCAGGACCAAGTGTATTGGGGGAACCTCAGGAAGAGTCTGGAAACTCAAGACAGTTGACTGGCTGCCTGAAAACAGGATGCTTTGATCATCTCTGAAACACAGCAGCCATTTTAGCAACAGCACTCATGAAAACTGGCAGGACTTACTTGTAGGTGAGACCGGACAATAGACTTCTGCTTGTTAAATTCAAAATTCTTCCTCATGAAGAAGTACAGAAGGGCAGAGGCCTCCATCTGAGTCGACCGTGACCTGTGGTTACAGCATTTGAGGACTTCATAGCAGAATGATCCACAGAGGTCAGCAGGCCCTTGAAAAAATGCTGAAGGAAACTAGAGAGACAGAAGAAAGAGGGAGTGAGCCATGTCCCTTCATGTCTCAAACTTGGAGACTAAAATACTATTTAAAAATAATCTTTCTCCATTTGCAGGAGAGGATGGAATGGGTTTATTATGTACTCCAAGTTCAGTAAGCTCTCTTCTCTTGTATTAATTATTCTCTTGCATTAATATTAATATTCCATGTATAATAACTGACAACAACCCCAAATACATGAGATCTTTGAAATGTTCCATTATTCACTTGACACTGTTATAAAAGATGCTGTTTATAGTCATCTTCAATTTTCATAGATGGCTGCTGTAGCTACCTTGGTATGGAAACTTTAACTTGATCATGGTGTTTTATTTTTTTAAACCAAACTTTCCATGTTAAAAACTCCGAGCAACTACATAACTGGTAACCAGATAGAAACAACACCTTCTGGAGACAGCAAGTGACTAGTATCTAGTGAAACCAAAATAGCACAAAGCAAGCCTGTTGCCCTGCACACTGAGAGATGCAAAGATTGTTAAGTGCTTATTGTCATCCTTAGCTGAGATTTTACTGGGACGTGGAACATCCTTACCTTGCACACAAACAGTCTCAAAGAAGCAAACACATGTTTCAGGGCTGTGGCTGACTGGTTGACTTGGAAAAACAGCATATAAGTATCAAAGACCCTTTTCATGAGTGAGTTTTGACAGTCAGATTGTTGGAGTTGTCTCTGAAATCCAGAATAGATGTTGTTTAGGATAAGTGGAGGAATAATTGCTTTCCTTCAGAAACATTTATTACGTACCTACCATGTGTTGAGCTTAATCCCGAGTGCCAGAAGAAAATGCTCAGTAAGAAGACATGAATCCCGTATACTCACAAAGAAGTTTACACAGCAGTGTCAAAACCAACCGAATCAAACCCAGATAAAGCAATAACTAGAGCAGGAAGATGTGATAGAAAGAGGTTGGGGATGGATTACATTCCTTAAGAAGGTCAGCAAAGATCCCTCCAGATGCTGAACAGAACTGAAGGGATGTGCCTCAGAGAGACCTGGGAGCATTGTCATGGAGTAAGAGCCTTGGGATGGAGAGAGAAGCTTGTGAGTTCAAAGCTGAGAAAGAACAGAGTGGCTGGTGTGACTAGTGGGTTGGGTCATGGGGGAGAAGATGAGGTAGCAGATAGGCATTGGGAAAGCCTTTCAACTGGGAGACAGTCAATACATATGTCCATTGAGTTATAAAGAAAATAGAGTTGTTTTTCCTCCCATCATGCTGGCATTTCACATGAAAGCAAGGTTTTCTTGGTGCAATACTGCTAGAGGGAGAGGTTTCACTTAACAGATCCAACCTTCCCTAGCGCAGTCCTTAAAGCAGGTTCATTTGGTTGAGCTGTAAATGTTTTAATAGCATTATTAAGATGCAATTGGTATGAGAAACTATGCATTCAAAAAGTACAATTGCATAAATTTGACTTCAGAGTACACCCGTGAAAACACCGTCACAGCTAAGAAAACAAAATATCCACCACTTCCTAAGGTTTTAATATACATTTTTGGAATTTGTATTTCTTTCTTGTCTTCACATCTCCAGTTCAACACTGATCTGTTGTTCCTATTTGATGACATCAACAGCATAGTAGTCTTCTCTGATTTGGCTTCTGAAGCTTCATGTGTGGTGTAGCCTGGGCAAGAGGTTTCTTCTTTCTGTTGAGTAGTATTCCATTGTGTTGCAAAAATCTACTCGGTGATGCACACTTTGGGTTGTTTCTGGTGTTTTTTGTTATTTAAAATAAAGATGTTACACATATTTGTGTGCAAAACTTTATATGTATAGGTGCTACTATTCAAATGGTTGGTTACATGATAGATATACGATTAGCACTGAAAATTTTTTTTGTTTTTATTTATGGATATTGTGTGTGCATGAGTACATGTGTGTGAATGCATGCATGAGTTTGTGCAAATGTGTGTGTGTGTGTGTGTGTGTGTGTGTGTGTGTGTACCACATGTGTGAAAGTGTATGTATGTAGGATAGAAGATGGCATGATACTCTCTGGAACTGGTATTATAGGCAGTTGTGAGTTCCAATGTGAGTGCTAGGAACTGAACTTGATTCTCAACCACTAGGCTATCTCTCTAGCTCTGTAATTAGCTTTTTAAAGAAAGCACCATAATGTTTTCCAAATTGTCTTTTCCCACTTGGATCCTTACTATCAGTGAATGAGAATTATAGTTTCTGTAAGTATTTGTCAAAACATGGTGTGACTAGTCTTGTTAGCACTAGAAATTTTATCGAGTATATCATGATAACACCTCATCCAAGTTTTATATATATATATATATATATATATATATATATATATATATAACTTATTATTCTTACAAATAAGAAAAGATGCTTGGCATTAACAATTTTCTCTTTCCAAAATCCAGTCACCAGTTAATACACAGCATTATTTGTCTTTTGCTTGTCTGTTAAACAATATGGAGTCTCATTGTCACTCAGTGCAACATGCTTGACAGAACAGCAAGAGGATTTGGGAAGAAAGACGCTATTGAAGTAGTGAAACACAAATACAAAGTGTGAGGATTAAGCAAGCATTAGTCAACTTGTGACAAAATCTGAGAATCTCATTTTTAACATGCTTCCCATTAATGTGTAAGCTGATTTATGTCAGGTTAGCTGATTACATAAATCATCTTAAAAATATTCTTGACTTCTTACGGTTTTTCCTACCTCCCAACTCATCATTTTGCAGAAAAGATTACGATCATATTCACCTGGTGGACTTGAGTGAAGAGAGACAGCAGGTCTAGAATAGTGAGGCAAACCTCTGTGGCTATATTGGCCTCAGTGTCTACATGGTGGACAATGTCTATTTCATTGGAGTTGCCTATAAAATATAAAATAAAACAGTGCATAAACATGTAAGCCAATTCTCTGTGCCCAGTAAAATATTTCATTCTATTACAGTGTTTACTGGCATTTTGATGAATAATTTATAAAATCAAAGTGCCTTTGTTTGATCAATTTCATTTATTTCCTCAATTAAAAGAAAAAAAAAAAAACACTAGACAGAGAGTTAGACCTGAGGGTTTTTTCATACATTAGCTGCAGATTTCCACTATTTTTAAAATTCTTTTCCTTTAATTCAACCATCAATACAATCATATTTCTTCTGTAATCAGCCTGTTTAAAGTTCCTGCTTTTGGGCTAATAGAGTAAATATGTGATCTCAGTGGACAGTTTACAACAGTCTCCTCAGAAAGGCACATAGTGTATTTAGAGATTACAGCAACACAGATTTTAAACAAGTAATCATGGACCACATGCTCATAATTTCCATGCTTCACAACACCAGGTTTTTTTTTTTTTTTTTTTTTTTTTTTTTTTTTTTTGGTTTTTCGAGATAGGGTTTCTCTGTGTAGCTTTGCGCCTTTCCTGGAACTCACTTGGTAGTCCAGGCTGGCCTCGAACTCACAGAGATCCGCCTGCCTCTGCCTCCCAAGTGCTGGGATTAAAGGCGTGCGCCACCACCGCCCGGCCCAGGTTCTATTTTTATTTCATTGCCAAGCTGGACTGTGTGTATCTCTGGAGTGAGTCATGATGTCATGGTTACTGGAGTCATGATGTCATGGTTACTGCTTTTGGGACATGGGCATTTTTATCCTCTTCCACTACAGTCAACAGTAATGACCTGATTGAGAGAGAGCCCCATAAACCCACAACACCAACAGTACTTAGAAAAGCTGCTCTGAGCCCATTACGTTGAGTTTCATTTTACTCCTTTCTTTCCTGTGAGAGCATTGCTTTTTATTTGTTTGTTGTTTGTTTATTTGTTTATTTATTAAGCTACTCCCTGATGATTCTTTTTTCTAAGAATGTTTCCAGGCCTATGGCAGACTTGAGAAGAGTGGTTTCACCGGTATGCCAACTCTCCTCTCATCTCACACACAGTGCATTTCCTGTCACACACACACACACCCACACACACACACACACACACACACACACACACACACTGATAGAACAACTCCCATTGCCTCTGGTTCACGTACTGTTCATGGTGTTGTCCAGCATCTGTAAAAGTTTGGGGTTGGAAAGTGCATTTTTGCCCCGAATTATAGGCAAAGTTTGAGATCGGTGCTGCTTATGTCCTTCGTGACCAGAAGTGGTATGCATCCTGGAACAGAGATGGGAAATGTGGCTCATGCTCTCCGCCAATGCAGTAGTCAATATTCATTCAAATACTGTGCACTGAGACAAATGTATAGAACATTTGCAAAGAACCTTTTCACTGGTAATATTGACTATAAGCAACACAATGAAGAGACTTTTAAATACATTTAAAGGAAGTCATTTAAGCACTAATAATATTAAGAAAGCATATAATGGGACAATGCCACAGTGGATGTCTTTTTAGCATATTTTGACTTTCTTCTTTTTTATTACCAAGAACCTTGTCATATAGATTCAGTCGTCTAAAACTGTTGTCTGACCTTGTTGTCACTAACTTCATTGTATGCTCAGATAACCATAAGATCATACGATTTTTAGGCAGACAGGACCTCAAACTGTTATCTGGCCTCATCCATTGCTTTTAAGCAAATAAAGTCATGTCTATTTTGTAAGCGAAGAGGTAGCTACAGATGTGTTCACCTCACTGAAACAAACAAACAAACAAAAACAAAAACAAAACCCAAAAAAGACACTCAAAATAAAACTGTTTGTAATTCATTATTGCTTTATGGACTTACAACAAATTAAGACTGCTGAGTTAACTACTGGCTAGGCAGAAAGGGAATTAAAAATATATGCAGACATGTCCTCCCACCCTTTTATTTAGAAGCAAAGTACAAAATAGCTGAAGGAAGCCCTTTCTCTCGTTTAGTTTTGCATATGGGAATTCCCATGCATTATGATTTATTTGGGCCAAGCCCCTTGGGAAGCTGATGTGGGATCAGAAAATAACATTTGATGGTCGTCTAGTTGCTCATCTGGGATGGCAATAAGAGCCTTCAGTGTGTGTCTTTCTCTGCTCTGTAGCACGCCCACCTAGAGAAACTAGCCAGCCCATTTGTGGAGTTAGGAATGCTCCCTGCTTGCCACATTTTCATTTGTCCAAGGAGTAGCCTGGTGGTAGGAGATTCACTGTCATGTAAATTACCCATAAACAACACCTATGTGCAGAAGGCAGCCAATGAAAGATGGCTTTAAGAGTCAAACCTCAGAAGGAACTTTGACTTTTGTCCTTGTCACAGTATTCAAGGCTGTTTGAATCTGGCTGAGCCAAAGGATCAACCTTGGCTGAAGCCTGGGAGAGCAGACTTCGGCTTTCTGTGACCTAGGACATCTGGATCTTGCCTGAATCTACAGGCAGTAATGAGTTTTGAGATATATGGATGGGACTTTGGGGACTGAATTTTTCTCCCAGATTTTGAGTCTATCACAGTCTGGAGGGGGAGGGGAAGCTCTGGTTTCAGGAGATGAGGGCCAGCAGGGGTAGGGTCTGTCCAGCCTATCAGGAGCCTTAAGACTTGTCCTTAATACATGATTTACTGGTGACCTTAGGTGGGTTGCAGCTGCTATGAAACATGGGAAGCATTTCTTTCTTGACTTGCCTTGTATGACAGTTTGCAAAGCAAACTCATGATTACATCTTTTAAATTTACTTTCTCACCGGAGGCCAATTTCTCCAGGTCCCCATGGATGGCAGCAAAATTTATTTTGTTATTTATTGACTATATACATTTTCCTATTTCTTCCTAAAGATCTTTTCTAAAATATCCACATCACATATTCTTATGATATGCCTGGGAAGAATAAATCAAACATATGAAAGTTGGGGGAAATAATTTTTACTTATTAGACCCACAGGACCTTAGAGGTGGAATTTCAGGGCAAGTGATTCTGCCTGGCAGGTTAATGAGGGAGGGAGCAGGCTCTGCAAGATTGAAGATCATCTAGTAACTAGGTAAGCTAAGAAGACTTGGGAGGTCACCCATGTTTCTTCGTGGCCCCTGACCCTTTAAAAAATAGTGTGAGCTTCAAGAACACTAAAGAAATCTTATAATTACTCAACAGAATTCAGAGTCATGATCCCAGAGTTTCTTTTTCCTACACTGTTCAGAACTAAAGGAACATTTTATTGGAGTCCTGTGCACCTTTTGGTCTTAGCTAAATTGAAATGCCTATGACTGCTTTTCCAATCAAGGCTTTAACTGGGTAAAAACAAAGCATAGTCTTTAGTTTTTGTTTTTAAGTCAGTGAGGCAGCTGGAGAAGTATCTAAGGAGTTTCTTCAGATAAACATATAATGCTGCTCAAAACTGCCTTTGTTTTGATGTATGTGCATGTATGAGTGTATCCACCCCCATGTGTGCATGTTCACATATAAAGAACACACACATGACTTCAAATATCAAGCAACGGTGACATTACCATTGTGACAAGAGACCTGAGTTCTGGCAGGAAGGATTGGATCCTTTCAGAGTTCCGTTGTTCTGGGTAGACTGCACAAACTTAAACGCTGCAGCGATTTTTCTGGAAGGAACACACATTTCAACCATAACTCTGTGTTTATAATTTATATATGGAAACAGAATGCCAAGTGACTAGCAATTACTGAATAATAAAATATTTCGTATTCTGTGAATGAACATAAAGTAAGGGGTTGGGAAATGGCTCAGTTGGTAAAGAGCTTGTTATGAATGAAAGCGTGGGGACCCGAACTCTGAATTTCAGCATCTATATAAATGCTTGAGAAGCATGGAGGCCCATCTGTAATCCCATCTCATGATGCAGAGATCGCGGAACCACAGGCAGCAGAGCTAGCTAAAATAACCATATTGGTAAACTCTGGCTTCAAGGGAAGGGACCTTGACTCAGTATTTTTGGTGGAAAGTGATTGAGGGAGACATCTGATGCCAACCTCTGGTTGTATCCAAACACACGCAAACACATACAGCCCAACACCTCATACATAAGCAAAGTAAAAATAAATTTAACATTTCAGTTTCTTCTGGGAATAGGAAATTAGGGGGCTATGAATGTTCTTGTCTTTGTGACAAATGATGCCAGCATGAAATAATTCTAGACTAATTTTTGTTTTTAGCTTCCTGGAATCATGTTCTTAAATAGATGTGTTTCATCCATATAAATATCTCTCTCTCTCCCTCTCTCTCTCTCTCTCTCTCTCTCTCATCTATCTCTGTCTGTCACCTCTATCATCCATCATCCATCCATCCATCCATCCATCCATCCATCCATCCACCACCCACCCACCCACCCATCTATCCATCCTATATAATGAAAGCTCTCTCTCTCTCTCTCTCTCTCTCTCTCTCTCTCTCTCTCTCTCTCTCTCTGTATGTTTGTGTGTGAGCCTGGTGTGCTTCTGGTGGTCAGGGGTTAACTTCAGTTGTTAGTTCTCACTTCCCACCTTGTTTGAGACAGAGTTTCTTGTTTACCACTGTGTATGCTAGATTATCTGACTCAAGACTTTCCTGCAGGAAGAGAATTCTCACAGGAACACTGTGATTATAGACTTATGCTCTATGTCTGGCTTTATGTGAATTCTGGATGTCTATATACTCACTGAGCCATATTCACAACTCCATGAAATTTTTAACAGACTTTATTAGCCTACTGGAATTTAAAACAATTACCTTATTATATTGCGTTTTCCCAGGTATCTAAAATTTTGAAGACAAACACTAGAAAGGGGAAAAAAAGTCACATTCTAATTATTCACATTATTTAATTTATACACAATAATTCATCTAAATATGTGGAAAGAAAAAATAGTAAATTTTCTTTACATATTCCATATGATTGTTGATATTTATTTACCATAAGGCTTCTTTGAATGAAGAGTGGTATAGTGAGCTATTTTGAAAGTTCCAGAAAATAAGTTATTGGGTCAACCGTAAACTTACTCCAAGATGCTGAAGAAGTCTGACACCTCAGGACTGGGAGCTCTCTGCCAGTAGGCAATCAGAGTCTCTAGAAAGAAACAACATGGTGTGAGGGTCTTAGAAATGTAAGCGTCTTTCTTTTGCTCCTTTTAAATTGACTTGAAGTCATTCTGCTTACCAACTGAAATGGTCTTCATAATATGAAGAAAGCACATAAGAAGACTCCTGGTTTCTGCTTGATCTAATTTGTCAAATCGAAGAGTTGACCCAATCAAAGATAAGGGCCTTGGGATCTGGGAATCAAAGGACCAGTAGAGATGAGTAAGACTGAGAGCATCCTGGCTTGTAAGTTTGGTACCTGATGTGGGTGGTGGAGAGGGAAACTGCACCTTTTCACAGGTGTCTGTCTTCTCACTGCTCTTCTCTGTGGTGCTTGGGTTGGAGTCGAGGCTTGCTAAGGATGCTCTGGAATCTGCATGGTTCACTGTAGAAATAGCTATTGATGAAAATGCTGTAAACACAAGCCACAGCACACATATGGTGATGAGATGTATGAGCACAGACAAGAACTAAAATGATGAAACAGAGTTGCTCATTGTTGTGGTGGAGAGAGCATTGTGAAATAAAATCTAGGATTGACATGGAAGGCATACAACACTTAAAACATTACACAACAGTGGCCATAATGGAACCAGAAAAATTTAAACTATTTTACATGGATATAAAGTTTGTTCTTTTGATCTCTTAAAATGCTTTTAAAAAATAGACAAAGCTAACTCCTATTTTAACAGAAGATGATTCAGGGAAGGAGTGTTTAACTTGACAGTTTATGAGAAATAAAAATGACTTTTCCAAAATAGTCCTTAATATAATCTTTGAAGCTGAAGAGCTCTCATATTTTAAGAGGCTGTGCATAACAAAATCCTAAAGACTGTTTGCAGAATGAAGTAATTTGATAACATGTGAGCAGATAGCTCTTTAAGCCAAGTGGAAGTGAAAGTCACTGGATAACATTCAAAGAAATATATTAAAGACTCGTTATATAATGTGGTATACTTTGCCAGGTATATTATGCATATGAATTATGGATAGAAAGCATTATGATGTATAATGTAAACATCGATGAGTGTTAAACATGAGTGTTCTCAGCAGGTCTTGAGTACCTGCTATGGAATTTAAAACATCTTTGGAAAATGATGTATCCACAGAAGTTGCATGTTTCATGGACGTCTGGGTTTGGAATCCTCCATTAGTGCTTAAGTCATCTCTAGATCCCTGCATTCAAAGTGGAGAAGAGACGAATGAGAGTTAGGGTGTTTCAGAATGGTATGTCCCCATGCCTTTTACATCCCTTTCAATTAGATATTCAAGTCTGACATTTTATATGCTAGCAAAGATGTTCCACTGAAGTTGGCAGTGGAAATGAATATTGGCAAAAGCATAGTTGTGCTCACAATTTGCTTTTCTTATGCAATGCTTTAAAGTTTTTATTCTTCTACAATTTCCTTCTCACACTAAGTTCTTATCACACTTTTATGTCTTTTGTTTTTGTTTCTGTTTTGCGAGTCACTGGGTTTGACAGGCTACTTGAGTAGGTATGGGCTAGCCACTGGAGCATGAGTAACTCAACAGTGGCTACATCATTAAAGACAAGGAATCCCTGTTCTCCAGCAGCCCTCCATTAGCTCCCAGGGTGGGTGAGGTCCCATGATCCCGTCCCCATCTATGATTGAATATTTATGGGCTCAGTCCTATGCAGGTCCTATTCAGGCAATCACAGCTGTTGTGAGTTTCTGAGTTTAAAAACCGTGACATATTGTAGTGGTATTGTGTTCCCCAAAATATTGTGTGCCCTAATAAACTTATCTGGGGTCAGAGAACAGAACAGCCACTAGATACAGAGGCTAGAAAATGGTGGCACTCACGCCTTTAATCCTAACATTCCAGAGGCAGAAATCTGTCTGGATCTCTGTGAGTTCAAGGCCACACTGTAAACAGCCAGGCCTAGTGACACACACCTTTAATCCCAGCAAGTGAGCCTTTAATCTCAGGGAGTGATGGTAGAAGGCAGAAAGGTATATAAGGTGTGAGGACCAGAAACTAGAAGCTTTTGCCCTGGTTAAGCATTCAGGCTTTTGAGCAGCAGTTCAGCTGAGATCCATTCTGGATGAGGACTCAGAAGCTTCCAGTCTGAGGAACCAGGATCAGCTGAGGAATTGGCAAGGTGAGGTGGCTGTGGCTTGTTCTGCTTCTCTGATCTTCCAGCATTCACCCTAATAAATGGCCTTGGGTTTGGTCTTATTAATAAGAACTTTTTAAGATTCTTGCTACAACATATGACAGCGTTTCATAGCCCTCCTCCCTAATGTTTGGCTCTTTCATTCTTCCCACTCTTCTGGGAATTTTTAAGTGATGTAGCAGAGATAATTTTTCAGAGGTGGGCTGGAATAATTACTGATATAGTGATGTATTAAATTATAGATGTAATTATCATCATATTATATATATTACTATCACTAGGAACTAGATTTGAAATAGTTATGTTACAATCATTGTGGTAAATGTTTTATCTTACACAATTTGATATGAAGGATTCCTGTTATGTTAGGTACTTTAAACAAATATGAAAACAGAGGCCTAGAAAGCTTGGATAACTTTCTGAAGGGTATAAACATGTTACATGATGCTGATGGGATTTGGTCAAGGTTCCTCAAACAAAAACATATTTAATGGCACAACCTCAACTTTTAGTAGGCCTTATCTTGGACTATTACTTGGACTACCTTACTTTTGTGAGGCAAGGTCTCTCAATGAACCTGGAACATAAAAGTTTGCCTAGGGTGCCCGGCCAATAAGCCCTAGGGAATTTCCTGTCTTTACCTTCTCAGTGCTGAGCTGATCGATTCATGACACAGCATTCAGACTTTTATGGAGATATTGGGATCAAAGTCAGGTCCCCATGCTTGCAAGCAAGCATTTTGCCAACTGAACATATCTGATCCCCTTAAATAGATTACTATGCTGTGGCCGTGCTGGCTGAGCGGAGAATACTCACAATGGGCTGAATTAGGGCTTTGACTATGTAAGACACTTCCCACTTCTGTGGGAAGAAGGTGATGGGAAGTAGTAGCTGAATGTTGTACATCGAAGATAAGGCCATGAAGACATTATTCAAGCTGAAAAAGCTGTGAAGATTTGGGTGGTGATGCAGAGAATAAAGGGATTGGAAACAGTCCTGAAGAGAGGGGTGGGCCAGTTAGATGCTGCAAGCAGCCGTCAGGGACACATGCTATTGATGTGAATACTTGTCAGATTGTGTGGTTTAGCCCCTCACTTGTTTATAGGTAGGAAGAAATGTTTACCCAGGACATAAATATAAATAAGATAATTTCCTTAAAAGAAAGAAATTAGGTGAGATGTGCAAACATACCTGATTGGACGTATTCACAGTGAAAGGATACAGGTCCTTCAGGTAGATTCTTGGCATATTGTCCAGCAGCATGCCATACAGAGGCATGTACAGACTCGCTATCTGTGCCTGCTTCCTCTAGGTGAGGGCAGAAAAGAGAAACGGTTCACATGAAAATCAATAGACTCAAGGGTTTCATATCCACTTAATGCAGCGAGCCATTCAATCGTGTTTGGGGGAGAGAGAAAGCAAGGCTACTTACGGGTTCTCTGTATCGATCATCGAAAGAATGTTTAGCCATTAGATTTTTTAGGACAGCCAAAGCTAAGTGTCTGATATCTTGATCCTCCTGCAGGGCAAATCCGACTTCCCGGAGCAGAATTCCGATTAAGAAGTGTTTGCGGCAAAATTCATTTGTGACCGAGTATTCAGGCATATCTTTGAGAGGAGGAGATGATGTTATTGAAAACGGAATAACCACTTTACGATTATAAAAGGCACATTGGACTGTTACTAAAAACCCTGCCCCCAAGCCAAAGGGAGTCCACAATGCAGTCTTGCTACAGAGATGTGGCCTTTTGTGTGGCCTTTGGAGTGTCTAGTCAGATGGTAAAATGTTTGCTTACATAAACACAGACTCGAATACTAACACAGCATGTAAATAGCTACAACCTAGCAAATGGCCTGTTCAGGTCACTGCAGGGGCTAAAACAAAAACGTGCGTTGTCTATAGGAATCGAGAAAGGTCTTAGGAAAAGAGGGCTAGACTGAGCTAGACCTTGGAGATTGCTAATGGTCTGGAGTTATTGTGGGAGTATATGGAGGCACTGGAGATAGGGGAGGATGTTGGGAAAAGGGTAATGTTCATGTTCAATGGCACAGAGTTTCTGAAATACAGACAAGTATGTGGGAACAGACATGTGGGAAGGGTTGGTAAATGCAGTGGCCTAAAGAGGAGGCATGGAAAATGAGTTTGAGATACTGGGGGTAGATGTGGAGAAACCCAAATACAAATTCTGTATCCAGTACTTAGGTCCACCTATATTTCCAGTTCCAGGGGACCCAATGCTCTCTTTTAGTCTCTGCAGGAACCAGACACCCAGGTGGTACACACGTATGTACACGCAGCAAACATTCTTAACACTTAAAAATATTCATCTTAAAAAATGATAAAATATAAATAACATATACAAGTTAATGGCAAAGCAAACAAAATGACCTCCCAAACCCAAATAATCAGATTCGAAAGGTGGTAAAGAACTTGAATAAACAGTTTTCTAAGAAGGACATTCAGGTTCCCAGCAAGAGGATGGGAGAAGTGTTTAATGCCGCTAATATAACCAGGAAAATGCATATCATAGTCACAATGAGCTGTCAGCTCATTCCTGTCAGAGTGGCTACTATTAGATGTCAAATGACAATGACTGATGAGGACAGAGTGGAGAAGCAGGAACTCAATACACTGTTCAAGTGGGTTTATATATTGGTGCAGCCAATGGAAAACAGAACAGGGCTTCCTCAGGTAAGTAAAGACGTAACCTCTGCATCACTTAGAATTACAACCTGAGGATATATACCCAAAGGAGTTGAAATCAGAACACTTCTTTTTTCTTTTTTAACCAATACATAAAAGACATAAAATTTCTTCAGGTGAACAAGGCAGCATGTAATGTTTATATATGTACACACACACACACACACACACACACACACACACACACACACACACACAGTGTTGCATAATGTTTTAATCAGCTAGTATATCTATCTCCTAAATATTTGTTATTTTTCTCTCATGAGAACATTCAAAGTCCTTTCTTCTTGCTTTTTGAAATGCATAGTGCATTGTTGTTACCCACAGTTCCTCTACCATGTAACAGTGACCAGAACTTCTAGCTTCTACTGAACTGGAACTTGCTATGTTTTGATCAGCCTTTCTCCATAGCTCCCCTACATACTTCTGGAGCCTCTCAGAACCACCACTGTTTTCAGAATCACATACAAGTGAGATCAAGTGTCACTTGTCCTTATTTCTGGCTCACTTAACTCACCAGAATGAGATTCAGTTCCATCCATCGTGCCCCAAATGACAAGGTCTCATTTTTAATGGGAAAACAGTAATCCACCTTGCCAGATACATTTTGTTTGTTAGCAGTCGGAGCCCTAGGCTGCTTGCATTTCCTGTCTCCTGTGAATAGTACTTCAGTGATCTAGAAATGCAGCCTTCTCAAGGACATAGCAATACTACCTTTGCTTATTCACTCAGCAGTGGGATTGTTGGATCGTATAGCAGCTCCGTATTTATTTATTTATTTTGAGTGGCCTCCAAACTGTGTTCTCTTATGGCTTTACTAATTTACATCCCCACCAAGAGTGTACAGGGGTTCTTTTTTCTCCACACATCTCGTCAGCATCTGCCACTTTAGACTTTTTATATAAAATGAGTATCTTAAAGAAACATCTGCAACCCAATATTTGCTGGGATTTTATCCCAAAGATATGAAAGCCGGGAGGGATGTTCTGCTTTTTGCAAATAGTAGAGGAAACTGTGGGAAGTGAAAGCGAAAACAGAGACACCACAGGATCTCATTGAAGATGTGAAAAAGTGAGCTCATGGAAGTATGCTGGAAAAGGGGTTGTGAGGGATGGGGAGATGAGAGAAGTGAGGTATCTCCCTCACAGGGCGGAAACTTGGTGACAGGATGAATACACCATGAGACCAAGTATGTAGCGCTGAAATTGTAGTTAGTAGTAATGCATTGCCCAAGTCATATAGACCAAGTTGTCAGGAACAAATGTGCATACCTGGAAACTTTATTTTTTGTACATATGAGGAAAATTTCAGATGACTTGGGAAGCTAAAACTTTGGAACGCTTGGAGAATAAAATATAAAGAATTAAAGGTAGGGCATCAAATTCTATGTGACAAGAGAGAAGTTCAGATACGTGTGCTGTGGGATGTTCTGTGTGTCAAATGTGTTGCTCTGATTGGTTAATAAATAAAACACTGATTGGCCAGCAGCCAAGCAGGAAGTATAGGCGGGACAAGCAGAGAAGAGAATTCTGGGAAGTGGAAGGCTGAGGCAGAGAGACACTGCCAGCTACCACCATGACAAGGGAGATGTAATGTACCGGTAAGCCATGAGCCATGTGGCAAAGTATAGATGATTAGAAATGGGTTAATTTAAGATAGAAGAAACAGATAACAAGAAGCCTGCCACGGCCATACAGTTTATAAGCAATATAAGTCTTTGTGTGTTTACTTGGTTGGGTCTGAGCAGCTGTGGGACTGGCAGGTGAGAGAGATTTATCTTGACTGTGAGCCAGGCAGGACCAGAAAAACTCCAGCTACATATATGTTTGGATACACTGGTTCTATGTTAATACACAGGAGTTGGTAGAATCTGTGCTCATTAACAAGAGAATACAGCTATGGTGCTTATGTAGGTAACATGAAATATCATTATTTACCTGAGGCATGTAACTCTTGAATTGATTCTGAAGGTGTCAGAGGATCTAGATTTAGTATGAATAGAGAATAACTTCAGATACATACACACTCAGATACATATATATCCAATAAATAGTTTAACTTATTGTAGAAATTTAAAACATTTCAAATTATTTGCTATTATATCACCATTTTTCAAGAAAAATTAAGCTCTGTGACTCTCCAAAAGAAATTCATGAACAAAGTTATTTTAATTCATAGCCTTGTATTTGAGAGCGATGTTTTTGTACCAAAATTCTGCCCACTATGGAATATATAACAGATTATCAGGATTTTTCTGTTTTGTTGACCGAGAATAAATAACTGGAATTAAAATAACCAAACAAAGGTTTGATTCCCTCCTCAATATCTTAGCCAACTTATCTAGCCAAGAATAACTGGGCATTAACTTAAAAAAAAAAAGAAATTCTCTTCTTCCTCCCCACCCCTTCTTATTTATTTCCTTTTCTTGTTCGGATCAAACCTCAAGTTTCACACATTCTAGGCAAGGACTCTACTACTGAGTTACATGTTAAGTACAAGCAAAAGGACATCCCAAACAGACAAAAAAAAAAAAAACAAAAACAAAAAACAAAAAACAAAAACCCACCAAGTCTCCCAATGCTACTGTCTGACCTAAGATTTCTACTCTTTTTTTTTTTTTAAATTTATTATGTATACAGTGTTCTATCTGCACATATGCCTGCTGGCCAGAAGAGGGCGCCAGATCTCATTACAGATGGCTGTGAGCCACCATGTGGTTGCTGGGAATTGAACTCAGGACCTTTGGAAGAGCAGCCAGTGCCCTTAACCAGTGAACCATCTCTCCAGCCCGGATTTCTACTCTTTCTCTCCTCTCTGGAATGCGTACAATATACTAGAAAAGGAATGGTATAGTGCTGATAGACCACATTTAAAATTAGAAGAGCATCATTATTTCCGGGCCTGCTGTTGTAACTTCCCTTCTGTAGTGTCAGTGCAAGCTGCCATAGGTATGAGGAGGCTCTGTGCCTTCTCATTTTCTCATTTCTTGACCATTAACACCGCAGTGTCAAAGTGTCGGTAGGAAGGTACACCAGGTCTCTGACTCAATTTCAGTACTCTCTTTGTATTTTGATGCTCAACTAGTTTCTGATGTTTACATTCTCTTAGGATTTTTCTCCCGTAGGCACATACGCATGCACATAGAAAGGTTTTAAATTTACAAAATAAATTAAACATCTTGTGTGCAGTATTTACATGTAATAATGTATATCAGATTTAGTAAATGAAATGGGCTCGATTCTTGTATCTTCACCCAATCTTTTTCTCTCTCTGGCCTAGGAGTGAGAATATTTAATATTTTATTAAAATATTAGATACTGACCGAGATGGAATTTGGTCAGGACCACTCCTGGAAACTTTACAGTTGGGTGGCCCTAAGACACATGTTGTCAGGGCTTATATGGACAAAACCATCCTTTCCCATGAGGCTTTGTTGTTATTTTTAAGAACTACAACTCCCAGAATCGAGGAAGTTACCTGGTCTTCGGGTAACCTTCCCTCCCTTCTTTCTGTCCTCCCTCCCTCTCTTCCTTCTTTTTTCCTTCCTTCCAACTTTCTTTTCTTCACACAACTCATTCTAGCAACTTCATTCTAATGCAATATGTATGCATGATATTTAATAATCTTCACTATAGTTATACTCAAAACCTTTTCCTCTCTGTCTTTAGATATCAAAAATCATGGGAACCTGTCCTTTGGAGCTAGTAGGATTCTAGGTTACCATTAAACCCTAAGTTAACCTGTAAGCCCCACCTGCCCGAAGACCAGGCGACTTCCTCGATTCTGGGAGTTGTAGTTCTTGAAAATAACAACAAAGCCTCATGGGAAAGGGTGGTGGCCTATGGGTTTTGTCCATATAAGCCCTGACAACATGCGTCTTAGGGCCACCCAACTGTAAAGTTTGCAGGAGTGGTCCTGACCAAATTCCATCTCGGTCAGGATCTAATATTTTAATAAAATAGTTTGCTTTAATCTGGTCAAAATGGTAGAACTGGTTTTTCTCCAGTGAATCTCAGGGTTAACAGTTACAATTCTTTGATTTATAATAACAAGATTCAAAGTTCTGTTGGCTTTCTCTTTGATGAAAAGGGGAAGAGAAATACAGAGTTTTAGTCATCAACCACATGGGGCAACTTCTTTCAGACTTTTCTCAGATTATTAGGCTTTCATACCCAAGTTACATTATTAGACGGAATGGTTAAGGACCTAGAGAACAGAGGCAGAACAAATGACCAGCCGTCTAAGGACTTAGGAAGACATTGGGCCTTGTTACCTGGGATGTTTGCTGATCTTATGGGGAGGCACAGGGGAATGAAGTGCTCATGTTGACAAACTTCTTGAAGAAAATCAAATTTATACTGGCATAAAGTCTGAAATAGAGGCAAACAGAATGTCTACTGTTTGTATAGTAAGAATGTTCATAAATAGGCAAAAAAGGCATGTGCTTCAATCTGACCCTTACAAAGAAGAAGTAATTTCTTATGACCACCAAGTAGTTCTTAGGTTTAACGGAGTCTGCTTCTTGTAGTCACACTCCTGATCTTTGTACACGACTCAAGGCCACCTAAGGAAAGGAGACCAACTGCCACATTCAGTTCATGAGAGAAAATCCCAAGTCACGCCTTTAGCTTATTTCATTATGTATTTATTGTGTCTTCACTCCTGTTGCATCATGTGAATGGAGCTCTCTCAAGCATCCAACTCAAATCACAGAACAGATTGTGATCAGAAGGAGGTGCAGTCCACAGTCAAGGAAGACAATGGTACATATTATCTGAAGTGGAGTCAGCTTCACATGCCACTAGTTCTCAGCGTCATTCACTTCCCCATTTCCCCTTGCCTTTGCAGAAAGTTGTGTCTTTTCCATAATATCTGGATTTGGACAGTGAATCACAGCATATAGACTTGGTCTAAGATAACTGTAATTCATGTCTTAGGACAATCATGCTGTGGGATGTTTTGTATGTCCTGTGGGAGCCCATTCTCAGGTTCTTTGTGGCGTTACCCAGCAGGTCCATATAGAGGATGATTAGGACCATGGGCCTGAGTGCAGGTGTTTGAGATGGTCTGCACTTGGCTGTGCTGGGGGATGGTCTGTATGTCAAGTTGCTCTGATTGGTTAATAAATAAAACCTGAT